TACATCATACAGCTGTTTTGTCCTTCTAGGTCTCGTCAGTGATGCTACATCATACAGCTGTTTCGTCCTTCTAGGTCTCGTCAGTGATGCTATATCATACAGTATTTCGTCCTTCTAGGTCTCGTCAGTGATGCTACATCATACAGCTGTTTCGTCCTTCTAGGTCTCGTCAGTGATGCTACATCATACAGCTTTTTCGTCCTTCTAGGTCTCGTCAGTGATGCTACATCATACAGCTTTTTCGTCCTTCTAGGACTCGTCAGTGATGCTACATCATACAGCTTTTTCGTCCTTCTAGGTCTTGTCAGTGATGCTACATCATACAGCTGTTTCGTCCTTCTAGGTCTCGTCAGTGATGCTACATCATACAGCTGTTTCGTCCATCTAGGTCTCGTCAGTGATGCTGCATCATACAGCTTTTTTCGTCCTTCTAGGTCTCGTCAGTGATGCTACATCATACAGCTGTTTCGTCCTTCTAGGTCTCGTCAGTGATGCTACATCATACAGCTGTTTCGTCCATCTAGGTCTCGTCAGTGATGCTGCATCATACAGCTTTTTCGTCCTTCTAGGTCTCGTCAGTGATGCTACATCATACAGCTGTTTCGTCCTTCTAGGTCTCGTCAGTGATGCTACATCATACAGCTGTTTCGTCCATCTAGGTCTCGTCAGTGATGCTGCATCATACAGCTTTTTCGTCCTTCTAGGTCTCGTCAGTGATGCTACATCATACAGCTGTTTCGTCCTTTTAGGTCTCGTCAGTGATGCTACATCATACAGCTGTTTCGTCCTTCTAGGTCTCGTCAGTGATGCTACATCATACAGCTTTTTCGTCCTTCTAGGTCTCGTCAGTGATGCTAAGGAGCTAAATATTGAAACCTGAATTTTGAAATACGAAACTGAGACAAATAAAATTGACGCCGTTATCCTTACTTCGACTTTTGTTTACTATATCACGAAAAATTTATTCTTAAAACATTTTTCCGAATACAAGATTTATGCATGAAATTTTCAATTTTATGCTTATATCATCTTCTACTAATGAACTGAGCATCTCTGTAAACAAACGCGTTTCGGTCCAGTGACTTAGCACTTACAAACCGAACACTTCTGTAAACAAACGTGTTTCGGTCCAGTGACTAAGTACTTATGATAAACAAAGTGTTTCGGTCCAGTGACAGCCCTTACAAACCGAACACTTCTGTAAATAAACGTGTTTCGATCCAGTGACTTAGCACTTACAAACCGAACATCTCTGTAAACAGACGTGTTTCGGTCAAGTGACTTAGCACTTATGATAAACAAAGTGTTTTGGTCCAGTGACGTATCACTTATAAACCGAACACTTCTGTAAACAAAGTGTTTCGATCCAGTGACTTAGCACTTATTAAACCGAACATCTCTGTAAACAGACGTGTTTCGGTCAAGTGACTTAGCACTTATGATAAACAAAGTGTTTCGGTCCAGTGATGTAGCACTTATAAACCGAACATCTCTGTAAACAGACGTGTTTCGGTCAAGTGACTTAGCACTTAATAAACCGAACATCTCTGTAAACAACAAGTGACTTAGCACTTAATGTTTAGACGTGTTTCGGTCAAGTGACTTAGCACTTAATAAACCGAACATCTCTGTAAACAGACGTGTTTCGGTCAAGTGACTTAGCACTTAATAAACCGAACATCTCTGTAAACAGACGTGTTTCGGTCAAGTGACTTAGCACTTAATAAACCGAACATCTCTGTCTGTAAACAGACGTGTTTCGGTCAAGTGACTTAGCACTTAATAAACCGAACATCTCTGTAAACAGACGTGTTTCGGTCAAGTGATTTAGCACTTAATAAACCGAACATCTCTGTAAACAGACGTGTTTTGGTAGAGTTGAGATTCGCTTTAGACAGGTGATATTACTCTTTCACACTCTGACCTAGATTCGTTTTCACCCTCTGACCTACATACGTAATGATATATCAATATCAATTCAGTTTAATGAGACTGAAATCTCTATTTGTCTCAATTGCTGAAAACGTTAATTTCGTATAAAAACCTTATCGGATCTACTTTACATTGAGACTACGTTTTTTACCTGGTATATCTAATTATCTTGAGATTTTTCCATAAATACTGTCAGGTAAGCTTGCTACAAGTAATACATCGATTTCTATTTTTTCAAAACATAAAAAATCTTATTTTGAAATCTTGATTTGAATATATAATGGATTTAGACTCTAATGCTATGGAAGCCGAATAGGAATTTAGAGTTTTTTAATCCTCATTATTACGAGTTTCTTTCTTGTTATCACGAGATTCTTTATAATAATAACGACGCTTTAATCGTTATATTGCGTATTTTCTCGGAATATTAAAGTTTCTTTCTCGTAATAACGACTTTCCCCCCGTAATAACGATCTTCTGTCTCGTAATAAAGATGTTCATTCTCGTATATAAGAATGCCATGTATTGCCGGATGACTGCCTTTTCCTGAGCTTCTGGTAGAGATCTATTAGTCTAGCTTCACTGAGAAATCCTGGGTGTTATATTTTAGATTTGCCAGAACTGTAGTGTCCATCGACGAGAGCGAGTACTTGAATGTTAAAATACATCAATGTAAGCTTACCAGAGTTATGTCCCTTGACTTAAAAAAAACCGTCAAAATAGAGTTATGAGCGTAAGTTATTTTATGAATTTCCTTACATCACCTCCGCGTAGTGGAAATTATGACAACTTAAAAAAAATATGTTATGAAACAAAAACAAAAAAACAACAACAACAAAATCAGTAAAAAATAATAATAAAAAAAAAAAAAATAAATAAAAAAAAATTTAAAAGAAAATAGAAAAAAAAATATATAAAAATAAAAAACCAAAACATCTGTTATAGTATGAAGGTAATGGTCGAATAAGAATTATTCAGGAAAACCAAAGAAATCCTAAAGTACATTCCAAGCAGCTGCTGGCCAAATAGAATGAATTGTACAGGTATAAAATGTACTTGTATAACAAAACTACTTGGTCATAGTACCTGGTACTTTATATATGTACATGTACACTCTGTACATGTGACTTAATACATGTAGCAATTCCAAATGTTATCTGAGAATAAGTCCACTTTTCGGGGAAATTAAAGGACATATCTCAAGCCAAATATCACGATTCCATGTTGTCATCATTTGATGTAGTTTATGTTGACCTTTGACTGCCTCCTGACACAAGTCCTTACACAATTTTATAAAACATACCTATATTACAGCTCTAAATTCAAAAGTTAAACAAATTTGATCTCTTTGATTTTAAAAGGATGTGAATGTGATCTGTTTGTATCATGTGTCATAGAAAGGAGTAATGTAAAAAAAACCATGGCCCTTGTGGGTTCGAACTAGTGACCAATGGTCTCTAGCCGGACACTTTACCACTAATTAAAAGGAAATCTACACTAGCCCAAGTTAGGTAACCTGTACACTCAACTTCAACACTGTTCCCTCCTTCACAAATCCTCCATCCCGAAGACAACAACAATCCTGGTTTGATATAACTAAGAAGGTCTATGTATCTCCTACCTGTTGAGTGGTTAACGGCAACAAATCTATAATTGGAAGGAGTAATGAAAAAAACTCTGCCCCTGTTGGGGTCGAACTAGTGACCATTCAGCATCTAGCTGGTCACTCTACCATCCATAACAGGGAAATTCCCACTAACTGATCTAGTAAGGCAACCTGTACTTCCACTCTATATCACATCACTTATTATATATGATTATATATCTTGACTTTGGGATTTTCAGTCTTAAATAAGAAGTTGTTCAAAAGAAAAACTGGTATGTAGATTCTAAGTGATATACACTGTCAGCAAATTCCCAATTAACAAATATTGCTTATCTGTCAAAAACCATGCACACAAATCTCTGACTTAATACATTATTTTAGTATGTTGATTGTCAAATATAACTCTGGTCCTGATGGACCTTAAATGTGACTTAATATTATTTACTGTAAGACCTTTAGTCTAACTTTGCTAATGGCCAAGTGTAATGATATTACTGGGACTTTCAGCCTGGGTCCTACTGGCACTCACCAGCTATTACACTGAAATGATGTATGAATTTTCTAAAAATAGTAACATTGACCTTGACCTAACAACCCTATAACTCAAACTTGTCCCTTATAATTTGATGCTTCACAAGTTTGTCAATTTTGATGTGGCTAGAGTGCTGATAAACTTTCACAGCCACAGGGACGGAAACACAGACTGACAGATGGATGGAGGGAGGGACAGATGGACAGAATAATAAGTATTAACAGTATAAGTTTATAAAAGTGTTGTGATAATTAATCTGAACAAACTTGATAGCCCTTTACCATTTTGGATTGTTGAACTAAAAATTGAGCTACTTCAACTTTTACATTTATTTTCGATTTCAAAACTACATTTCTATTTTCTATTTCAAATTTCAAACATAAATTTCCATTTTTCCACAGAAAACATGAAACAGAATTACAAAAAGAAGCTTTAATGATAGTCTTAGACAGAATATCATCACTCACATTAAATGTAGATATTCTACATATACAATGTACAAATAGCTACTAATGTTTCCTTTATCAGAGAAATATCCCACGTTACAAAATGCATATAAAGTTAGGAAATTTATTAATCTTGTTCATAATTACATATAGAAATATTAAGACATTTTAATATAAGCCTTTGTCAGTGGTTTGGCATTCTGTACATATCTAATGTGACATAGAAACAAAGCTTATCAACATTCATCCGTACATGTACATACATATAGTAAAAGTACATGTATTATTCCTGGTGTAATATCTAAATTAAAGAAATTGAAGAATGATAAGGCTCTTGTATAGAACATCATAAATAGATTTTAAAATACCAAACTTAACAATAAATATTTGATTGAAATGGAAAATATAAAAGATCTATCATACTTTCCTAAAATTTAATTGGTATTTGAAAATTATACAATCAAACTGAAATTAAAGTCCTTCATAAAACAATCAATTATCAATTTATTTCATCTTTAATGATCATACATTAACATAAGTTATCAATTATATTGCACTTGAAAGTGTGATGATCGTACAAAATTATGTTTATTATCATGAATTTGAACTAAAATTTAAATTCTGTATAGTGTATTTTTTAGGTGTTAATTTCATCAGAAAAAATCATCTACAGATTCAAAAATTTCAAGCAAAGTAACTTTATATATTCAATATTTTTATAAAGCTGCTTTCATTTCTAACACAGAAGGAAACACTTGTTTGAAAGAAAGTCTAGCACTTTGTGCAGTATTATAAATTTTGAAAAGTTTTTTACATTGTGTCCTCAATAAGTGTAACAAAAATAATTATTGAAGGTTTTTAAATTCTAAATGGATTTAGCTAATTTGAAATTCTTTTTAATGATGCTGAAAAACACAATCAAATGGTAGATATCAATAATACAGAACTTATGAATTCTGCTTCATCACCATCAGGTTTCAGATCTGATATCAACATTGTCAAGATGTGTTTTCTTTAAAAAGGAAATCCTAGGTAAAGAAGCAAGCAACTCCAGGTCAGCAAAGTGCAGAAAGATTTCTGAATTCTTCTTCATTAAAGGTACAAAAGTGTGTATCAAAAAGGTCTTTCTACCTTAACACAAAAAATGACTATTTCATCTGTTTCATGCAAAGCTTTATTATTTATGATTTAGGTGAAAAAGCAATACAAAATCTAAATGTTGAATATAAGTTTTTGTAAGTGTAATTTGTATCACAATACATGTGTGTATATGAAAACAATTTACAATGCGTTTTTGAGGTAAATTTTCATGAACGGTAAAATTTGTTATGTTACGTGACAAATTGTCATTGATAGACAAAAAAGCACTCTTTTGTTGAACGTGAATATTAGTCACAGAATTATCACTATTTTGACAATTGAATACAATCTTTCTCTCACACAAACATATCAATTAAAGGTATTCTTACCAAATATATATCTATATTATGTACGGTAGAGACACAGAAACTCCAACAAACAAAAGAATATCAAATCTGACAATCACAGAGGATAGCTAAATCTAGGATCACAGAATCACATGTATTTTGTGGAGAAAATTTTAAATTATTAAGATATTGTAAGAGATATACCCATTTCATTTTCAAAGAATTAGCACTACAGTTTTCTGCAGATTATATCATAAATATGTATCAATAATTTCTGTTAAAAAAAATTATATATACTTGTTGGATTTCAAACATCAATACGATTGTTCTAACACTCACAGCTCACAGAGAAAAAGGTCAGCACCAAAAATCGAGACATAGTTAAAAAGATAAATAACTGAACTATCCAAACGTTAAATACATTGTACATGTATTTGTTTAAAATGTACTAATTAAAGCATTTTGATGTCACCGAGTGCCAATAAAATTCTCAAATCATTGAAAAGAAGCTCTGCTTGCAATAAATTTGACCAACGATGCCCACTGCATTCCTCCAGACAAAAAAACACAAAAAAAAAAAAAATATAACGAAAAAAGCCACTTAACACATAGACAAAAAACAAAAAAAAAAACCCAGAAATTATAAGAAATTTTGTATTCAGTAAGGACAATTCTGGGTACCTGTGTGTAGTTTATATAGATTTCATCAAATAATACAAGGTAACTGTTTTTGTAAGAATGCACCAAATAGCCTCGTTCTGTCACATACCTACATAATATTACGCATTCTAGTTCAACCGAAAAATATAAATATATGTTTGCATGATAAAACTGATACTTCTCAACAAATTCAACAATGTCGCAAATAAGCTTTCACAAAGTACAACAATCTATATTTAAAAATGTGTTTTGTTAACAGTAGTCGTCTTAACAATAAGTTAAGTACTGGATTTGTGTACTGGTATATCAGTAAATTTGACAGGAAATATTTGGTAGTTATCCCATTGATTGTGACATTCTTGCAGAAATGTGAACAGAAAATATTGATACAGCTATATCTATCAAAATTGCACACACGTATAGCGATGTTGTACAGCGATATAAAAATTATTGTCAAAAACTTGCATCATGATCCTTGCTGTACTGTTTTTCTTGTCAACTTTGTTAAAACAGCAAACCATGTTGATAAAATTTCAATCAACATAACCCAGTTTTAAAAAAGAAACTCCTTTGTACTATGCTACTCTACATCTGTCTCTAACAAGCATTAGTTAGAAGTTCCGAATATAGATTTATATCATATTGAATTTATTTACTACAACTTGTTAGCTATATGACATTAGTACATATTACATACAATGATGACTAACTATCTTTCTTTCTTTGTTACCATTCAGATCTTGTATACCAATACCATCGATAAATCTATAACCCATTCAATGAAATTGTCTCCCTTTATGAAGAAGTCTCCAATTATCTGAAAAAAGTGTCCAGATATTTGTGTATGTGAAGGATGATCCAGCATGATTAAGCATCATAAGTACTGGACGATACGGTTCCACCATGTCCAGTCCAGTTTGTGTGGATGAATTTACCAGGATTACTCAACAGTTCGTAAGTATGAGCTCCAAAATAGTCCCTCTGTGCCTGTAATAAATTAATGATCTTCATGTAAGTCAACAGAACTTTAGGAAAGTGAAAGAAAAGAAAAAAAGAAAAAATCTCTGTAAGACATGAATGCCTCTGTTTCCAATCACATAAGTATTGATAAATTTGGGAAAGTTTTCAAATGTGACCTTTGACCCTTTAATCATAACTGATGACCACCTAGATATGTTAAGGTGTTGAACTTGATCTTATGATACTATGCTTTAGGTTAAACATGAACCCATTCTTTTGAGAGGTTCTTAAGACATGGCACGTCATGATGAGACAGATGGACAAGACTACATGTCTATGCAGCCTTAATAAAACAGCAGGGGCTTAATAAAACACAAAATAAAATCTTAAATTAGTAAACGGAATATAGACCTTCCTACAGCTAAAAGTAAAACCTCTAGATCTACATCGAAGCTCATCAACCTTGAAGGAGGTTCTCAAAAAATATAAAACTGTAAGAAAGCTTTCTCACACAGCCTTTGAATAAAGTCTATTTGTATATATCTATATGTAAACCTGAGTGATACAAACTCTGTCATATCAATGGCTTATACAAACAAACATTCCCTTTTCACCTGTCTCACTTAATAGAAAATGTCTTACCTGTAAAAGGTTAGCAGGTAGTCTGGCTGACCGGTACCCATCAAAGAATGCCAAGGCTGTGCTGAAGGCGGGCGTAGGGATTCCCAATAGGACAGCTGTGGACACAACCCTTCGCCAGGCAGCCTGGCATTTCTTTATCTCTTGCTTAAAGTACTCATCCAAGAGGAGATTACTCAGTTTAGGATTTTTGTCAAAGGCCTCTTTTATCTTGCCCAGGAAACGACTGAAATTAAAGTTTCATATTTCTTATCATGAACTATTTAAATTTCTAAAATGAGGATACGCCGAATGAAAATAGGTCTAGATTGCGAGTAATTATGTTTTAAGCACCCATTAACTTACTTATCTTTCCTCCTGTGAATTGACTTTAAGCCTAGTGGAAATGAAGATGTCCGAATGCACCAGAATAACATTTCGTGTTATTAACGACTCCGAGGGTAGAAGTTATGGCAGATTAAGAAACTTTGTTGAAGATTAAGAACCTGAGTAAGAGTTGTCTTTGGAAGCAAACTGCCTCCAAGGCTTTTGTGAAGGTAGGAAGGTCACCTAACTAGTCTCAGCTAGGAAAAGCTACCCTATAGTCAAGTTGTAGTGTGTCCATTCTACGAGTGAGAGGTTGAAACCCAACAGTATGCTGGATAGCTTTCATACTCTTTCCTATCACACCAGTTACCATAATATAAACAAGTCTTAAAACACTGATGAAGATAACTGAACTTTACTAAACTGGCAGAAAATCTTTTGTTTTTGTAGATTATCATATTTTCTAGAACCATATTTTTTTGTTGAGCTAAAATTTTGTAATTATACAAAAATTTGCATTTTTGTTTTCACTTGATTTCTGGGGAAAATCTAGCTCACAAAATCTACCTGTACTATGTCAATTTTTATCTATCTCTTATTTCTTACACATATAAATTCTTGAAATTCAATGAAAATAAAAAACACCATCAAAATTAATGGTTTTACAGTATTTGAAGGAATTTTGGCCTCAGACTAAATACTTCTATTTTCTATGAAGATATAAAATGTTAGAAATATCAGCTTCATTTCTATGATAAAAAGGGATATACAGTATCTACACCACTAATAAATGTCAGACTAGTGTCTTATGATAGAATAATTTTACAAACCTGCGGATAATACACCCTCCTCGCCACATCAAAGCGATACCGCCAAAGTTCAGGTCCCAGTTTAATTCTGATCCAGCTTCCCGCATCAACATGAACCCTTGTGCATAGGAGACAATCTTAGAGGCATACAACGCCTGAAAAGCAAACAGTAAACACATCAGGGGTGAGGGGGATTTTATTTTTTTTTTTTAAATCATGATACATTTATACGTTTACAAAACAAGATATTATATGGACAGAATAATTCAATCTGACAGATTTAAGAGATTTCATCATGATCTCTATTTTTTGTACATGTGCTTTGACTTTTTTATTAGTTCCACACCCAATAAGAAGTGCCATTTATCATTCATTACCCTGCTTGATGAAAGAAACTCACCAGCTTTAGATCAGCCACTAACTGCTTCTTGTCGCCCTCATACTTGGTTTTCTCTGGTCCCTCAATATGTTTACTGGCTTCAATTCTTTCTTGTTGAAGGGCAGATAAACATCTTGCAAACACAGCCTCACCTAAATCAATTCAAAGCAGACATTAACACTAGCTGATTTAATATAAAATTTATCATTGTGATACCACAGGTAGTCTATCATGTGATGTGAAAAGCAGGAGAAGTGTACAATGAAACTAAACAGAGTGAAACATGTCCATATCTATAGCACAATCTAGTGTAGACTAAGAACTTGCCTAACATCACTTCCATGACAAGTTGATATAAGCTAATTAACTACAGACTGTCAGCTCATCAGCCACTTTCGCATTATTCAACAAAATGTTTCAAAAGAAACAACAGACCCAAGCTGATACTAGTAACAACTGATCTTCTTACCAACCGTGCAAATTTTCATCAGGAGCAGTCTCACTTCAGATTTGTAACTTGGCTAAAAATGTCCACATTAAAAACCAATACATTTCTGGTAACAAGTTTCAGAATAACTGACTTACTAGTACTGGTTCACATATAGGTTAAAGATAAAATTTACTGATCTTGTATAAATTCACTGACCTAGTTTATCCCTCACTAAATAATTATCACCTGGTATCACCTGACCTTTAAATGATGGGTAATATGTTTGGTACTTACCGATAAGAGACACTGGCACACCATATTCCAGTGCTGATATGGCTGTCCATTTCCCTGTGCCTTTCTGAAAATAAAACAAGTGATATGAACTATAAATTCATTTGACCATAAAGTTTGGTATGATGTACTTGTTTCTGCACAAGTTTAATATCATCATGTTAAAGTTGATAAGGCAATAATACCAAGTCTGATACAACACCCTCCCAGAAAAGTACAGCTGTTCAGTAAAAATTCTCAAAAATTGTTATTTCTTTGTCCTGCAGTAGGTGAGGTCCATGGCTTTGAACCAAATTAATGAATTGAGAATTTCATTCAGGTGTGTATCAAATAGACACAATGACAATATATGCATGAAAGTGTATTAAAATCATTTTATCATTAATATGCTTTATTTACATTTGTTTGAACACATTTTGATGTTTTCCTGGATTTATCACTCCGTGAACAACCCGGGTCATTTTGAGACAGGGTCACCTTGTAGTTGTTGGGTGGCTACCTCATTGAACAACCTATGAGAGGCCCATTGCATGCTGAAGAAATTTGGGTAAAGTGTGTAGCCCAAGGACACAGCCACATCAGCAAAGCTTCCCAAGAAACCCAAACCACCATTGGTAGTAAATATAAAACCACACACCTCAGATCTTTGCCTGAAGTTACATCGACCAACGCTCTAATCAGTAACTGTTGCGGCCCCAACACATGCATGAACAGGAACATCTCCTTAAGGCCTTCAATTCATTATGTGTAATGAGTAAGTAACACAATATTAACTGCAAATAATTAGGTTTCTATACTTGTTTGATCATCCTGTGAACAACCAGAGTACTTTGAGTTAGAGTTTCCTTGTAGTAGCTGGTGATAACCACACTGAATAACATATGAGAGGCCCATCACATGATTAAGAAAAATGTATTGCCTATGGACACAATCACTACAGTCCTATCACAATGCCCTCAGAGCAACTGGGGAAAGTGTTGCAACGAAGGACACAAGAACACAAACTGATTTGTTTTTCAGCTCCCTGAGAAATAAAAACTGCCAGAGGCAGAGAGTGCCACACCCATCAGATTCCCACTTGAGGTTGTGAAGGTCAAAACTCTACTGACAAATTGATAAAACCAAATCTTTTGTATCCCCAAAACATTATACCTGTCCTGCTGTGTCACGTATCTGTTCCAGTAGGAAACTGCCATCACTGTTCTTATAACGAAGGATGTCTCGGGTGATTTCAATCAGAAATGAATCCAGTTCAGTTTTATTCCACTCCTCGAAAACCTATCAACAGAAAATTTTCAATGGATTTTGTGAATGGAACATAGAACAATAAAACACAAAAAATGAAACCATCAAAACACAATCATTACATTAACTTTTCAGCATGACTAACTAGCTAACTTGAGATGAGGGGAGATAACTTAACACTGGTTTAATATTGATAACAGGTTTAGCAAGCGAAAAGAGACACCAGGTAGATGGTTATTTTTGCGATTCAAATTTTTGCAATTTTCATTTAAAAAGATGAAAATTTCATGCTTTGTATAGAGAGGATACTTAATTTTCATGATTGATTGTTCATGTCAAGTTCTAAATATATAAATAATGGTTTATTGGTCAAACAACATTTATAGATAATGGTAAGATTGATGTTTTAGAATGCTGACAAATAACGTAATGTAATCCAATACCATTTAAGTCATTGCAAACATCTGAAATTGTTGAAATAGTGTCAGATAATTGGAGTGGTCTGTGCCAACAAATGATGACATTCACTGCAAAATCACCCAAATATCAACTATAGCCAGATATACAATATTTCTCTGTCCCTTAAACTTCTCTCTAAAGACATTAGATCTTACATCAGCCATTTCCAACTGATTCATGCCTAATCCATCCTTCATAACATTGTATGCCTCACAGATGAGCTGCATGTCTCCATACTCAATACCATTGTGGACCATTTTCACAAAGTGTCCTGCACCCTCACTTCCAACCTGTAAAGTAACAATGAAATTGTCAGTCACAATCATTACAATAAAAATGTATATCATGCTCTGAACAGGAAATAAGGCGTTCATATCTTTAGCTTCTATAAATATATTGTACAAAAATGATTTAAAAGTTTAATCAGTCTTGTTGGCACACACAGAAATTTCCAGTAGGTTAAAATGCAGTAGGAAAATTGAGTAAGGAGAAAAATCAACATCAATAGATAGCAATATAGGTGATCATGTCTTTTTCACATCTGGTCGGGATTTAGCCATTTTACTTTTGACCCAGATTTACATGTGTAGAATATGATGTGACCATGCTATAAATAAAGTAATACAAAATTTGCGGAATGGGTCATGAGTTACATTTTTGTCAGGTCCCAATCAAGATTCAGTTTGCTGCCATTTATGTGTAGTTTCCCTTCCATAGAAATGAACAAAACATTCCCGAGCTAATTCTACATAAAATCCCCTTTTCTTCAGTGATAAGTTCACAACATAATGTATTACAAATTACTTCATATTTTATTAAATCCATGATTTTTCATGTCCATTTTGTAATGATACTACCCAGAATGCAACATTTTATATAGTTAATATTTAGGTAGATGTTCCCTCAGCCTAGAATCCCCTTACAGTCACTGCTCGCTTCACGCACCTTGGCTTAATTTTTTCCCCTCCATTGTTGAATTAATAAGTCTATCTTTTCCTTATATATCTGCAAGGGGCTTCTCCCTCTAAAACCTGGAGTTATCCCTGCTTGTACCATTATGTATATGATAATTCCATAGTGGATTAACAAATTTAAGACCAAGATAATGAACTGAGCTTGAGATTACTGAATACCACTTCTGTAACATACAAATAGAATATACAGTGCTGTATGTCTTTATACATAAGTACATTATCATGGTACATGTACTTCTCTCTAATAAGTGGAGACACTATACTACTCACCCAATCACAACAAGGCTCATCCCCAGATTTGGCAGCAATGGACTGGAAAATGTTCTTAATATGAGGCCTGAAAAATTAATATCACCATAATGTATTATGAATTTTATTGGATTTCAAGAATATAACTTTCCATATTAGGATATGTCTGTGTAACAGAGCCCTAGAAAAAAATTTTGTTTTGTTTTAAAGTTTATCATTGCTTTCAAATAATGCTGGGTCTATAGTCTAAAGTCAAAGCAAAAAGGCCTAAAGGGATAAACCCACACCTGTCAAAATTATAGACACTAAATTCAAACATGCAAGATCATTATGACATATTAGTTACAATTTTGTCTTCAGTATTTAATTATCCTATTAAGAAGAGGAAAAAACCTAGATTTGTTTTAATAGATTTTTTACTCTCATGCAAAACATTTTCCCAAATAAATAGCATTTTGGTTAACATTGGTTCAAGATAACAATGTAGTCATATACTAATTCTACATCAGACTGAAAGAGGGGGAAGAGCCAACAACAGCCCAGTACAAAGGTAGGTTCTTCAGCTGGTCTAGTCAACTTACCATGCTTCTGGTGATCCACCAGGCATGAGAGAGGGTCCATATCTGGCACCGTCCTCTCCTCCACTTACTCCACTACCCACAAACAATAGACCCTTTTCAGCCAAGGCCTTACATCTCCTCTGTTCATACAAAGTAAGTAAACAATGATGACTAGTTATAATGTACATATTTCATATCTCTTTTAGTAAAACAGTTTCAAACATAAAAGAAAGGAAAACATAGTGCTCTACTTGGATGAAAATTTGAAATATTTAAGTTATCAATAAACAACCTTCTTTATCTAATAATTTCCCCTGAATACAATTCTCTACACTGATGAATAGATGGGATGAAAATAATGTAATGATCCTGTTATAAGACCAGGGGACTCAGACATTATCTTTGACTATGGGTTGCTTGCAATATTTCAGGGGCACTGGGAGGGGTGGGTGGGCAGGTGGCTTATTACCAGACAAGGGCATACAGACAGATAAATACAATTATATGATAATATGTTTCTATGACCAGACAAGGGCTTACTGATGGATAAATACAAATGTATGATGATATGTTTCTATGACCACACAAGGGCTTACTGACAGATAAATACAATGGTATGATGATATATTTCTATGACCAGACAAGGGCTTACTGATGGATAAATACAATGGTATGATGATATGTTTCTATGACCAGACAAGGGCTTACTGATGGATAAATACAAATGTATGATGATATGTTTCTATGACCAGACAAGGACTTACTGACAGATAAATACAATGGTATGATGATATATTTCTATGACCAGACAAGGACTTACTGACAGATAAATACAATTGTATGATAATGTTTCTATGGCCTTAGCTTACATTTGTGTCTTTGTATTCAGAATTCCCTCCGTCAATGATGATGTCTCCCTTTTCTAGTAGAGGCACCTGAAACAAATGAGTCATCAGATTCAGATTGTTAGAATTCAAATATAATTGTCACTTATAAATCACATAACATCTCAGGTGTCATCAGCTTTAGTATTGTAAAACTATTAGCCTAGCAAATTAAAGCAGTCCACCAACAGGAAAGGTGAACTCCAGTAAGCTGTTCGTATTGTGCTATATTGGCTTCCTTTGATATTTGTTTGAAATGTTTCTTGGCAACTCTATATACAATGTACAGGTAACTGCAATACAAGTTTTTATAGTGAAAAATCATTTTCACTATCCAACTGGGCTTTTAAAATGAAAGTTTATTATAATTTGCCCTCACCACCAAAGGTTGAACCAAAAATATTTGAACAATTGCATAAGATGAATACTATAGTCCAGAGCTATCATGAAAAATATAAAGCCACTTGGATAGATTTGAAAAGTTACCAATTTGTCAATGAAGGCGTCCACTGCAGCTCCAGCCTTGACCAGTAACATAACCCTCCTTGGTTTTTTCAGCAGACTGACCATTTCCTCCATTGATTTAGCTCCAATAATGTTGGTGCCCTTGGCTTCATTGTTCATAAAGTCATCAACCTTGGATACAGTTCGGTTAAAGGCAACCACCTGTAGGGGTGTAATTATAAATTTAAGTTAAAGGTTAAAGTTCAAAGGTCAATAAAATATTCTATGCATCAATGTAATTTCAGTAATGCATCCAATGTATGTATATACGAAGATAGTGATCAACATTTTGCTGCATTACTTTTTTAGACAGGAGGAGGAAGAGGGGGAGGAAGAGGATGACGAGGAGGAGGGGGAGGAGGAGGACGACGAGGAGGAGGAGGGGGAGGAGCAGGAGAGGAGGAGGACAGGGAGGAGGAGGGGGAGGAGGAGGAGGGGGAGGAGGAGGAGGAGAGGAGGTGGAGGAGGTGGAGGAGCAGCAGCAGGAGGAAAACAACAATGAGGAGTGGGAAGAGAATGGTCATGTTGAGGAGGGGATTAGAATGAGGAAGAGGAAGAAAGAAAGCAAGAAGGAGAAAGGGGATGGCAATGACATTGGGAAGGGGGCAGATGTTTACAGGAGGGGGATGTGAACAAGGAGAAGGGGGATGGGTACAAGGAGGAAGAAGGGCAATGGCAACAAGGCCATGATGATAATGTGAGAAGGAGATGAGGATGAAGATGGTGAACAAGAACTAGGAGGAGGGGGAAGAAAACAAGGAGATAAAGGTGGACAAAGAGAATTATGAAGAGGAGAAAAACGAGGAGCAGCAGGAACAGGATGAAGAAGGAAGAGGTCTTATTTATAGGTCCACCATTTAAAATCTGTGATGCAATCAGCTTCATTAACCACTGGTACACAGCTGTTCTTCACTAGGAAGCAAATAGTGTATTGATTGGGATAATCAACAAATACCTTCTGACTGATGTGGTCACACAACCTGTCGAGGTTGTCGAGGCGGTCGGTGAACATCTGCTAATGATCTATAATCAGGTTATGTATGTATCTCCTCTGCTAATTATAGATCAATATTCCTGACATCAGAGCCACAGTAAATAGACTTCAGGGCGATTGAATATCAAGTTTTACTCCACTCACCTAGGTTTTACACATGTATTAGCTATCATAACACTCAAATTTTCTACATACAAATTTGATGCACATCAGTAAGTCGCTTGAAAAACACAGATACCATAATTGCTATAGACAGCATTAAGGGGCACCCAAAAGTTTATGTCTTAATTTAACAAGCATACTGAGAATAGCTGAAGCAATACATGTCCCCCACTGGCCACCAGAAGCTACTACACTGTAATAATTCATAAATTTTCTATAAATAGTAGCAGTGACTATAACCTTGACCCAACCACCCTAAAACTCAAATTTGTCCAAGATAGTCTGATGCTTAATAGGTGTGTGAAGTTTTATGAGAATCCCCCAACGACTGAAGTCTCCTTCTCACAAGCACAAAGACATATGACATTATGATTGAAGGACTCCCACAAGTCATTGTAACACACACACTGGGCTTGAATGTTCTGCATTTTAAAATGCCTCCTCTAAATTAAGTTCATTTGAAATGATAGACATTATACCAATCTTTGTCAAACTTTTGAGGTTTTCTTCACATTGGGATTTTGTCTTTAGCAAGTTGTATATGGATATATGTGAAATATCAAACAATTGTTTTTTCTTATTTTGTTGTTGTGGTATCAAAAAGATTGAAACAATAAGTTCATCGATGACGGTGGTTTTTAAATTGTCAAACTGAATGCTTTTTTTGTTATTTCTCCGTCTGTAAACTTTGAAATGGATGAAAATGTAACTGCATTTTAATAAAGAAAATACAAAGATTAACATAAAATTTACTCAGGTTCAGTTGTGCAACAAAACAGAAATTCATTCTTGTATAGAATGTTATAAAATTACAAGTGACAGATGACAATGAATACACTAATCATCTCTTACATGTATTCTATTATTACAAGTTAGCATCCATTCCTCATTACTAACTTTAAAAATGTCAACTCCCCAACATTATACTATTTACTATACAGGTAGAGAAGATTTAAGTGTCCTTAAAGATCCAGAGCAGAGTAAGTCAACCTTGTACAGGTACAAAGTGTACACTTCCCAAGTTTGTTGCATACTACAGTATCAAATATCTTACAGTTTTAGCAGCTTGATGACACAATGATAGGATTTTAGATGCTGTTATCCTTCATTTAATCTCTACTGATCATCAATATATCTATTTTCAGATTTCTAGAAATCAAAATAACAAGCTTTAAAACACACCAGGAATTCATTTTTCAAAAAACAAATCTTGATGATTATATAAGTAAAGTTCGGCGTTTAAAAGATTTAAGCTTACATCTTAATTCCACTTGCTTTTCGAAGTTCATAACAAAAGTGACGGCCAACAAAAAGAAAAGTATTTAGAATGCATCAAGTTGTCAGGTATTTTTGTCCCAGCGCTAGTTCTCCTGATATTGATACAGGGCATGTACTACACATACCGTGTATACATTTATCTTTAAATGACACACATCGGTTGACACGGAGATTTTTAGCCGACGCGACAAAGCTATTATATGATCACCCATTTAAGAAACTTACTAAACAATTTCTACTCCCACACAACCAGGTCCAGAAGTTTCAGGGATATCAATGTACCCTCAACAAACATTACAGGGTATATATAGATGATACTTAACATTAAAATAACAATGAACTACAAACTGAACCACAATTATATGTTAAAACTTTACCAAGATCACAGTTAAATAGAAATACATTTTCTAGAAGACATTTTTCTTTGCTTTTTGACACACATCTGTAATTAATGCATCCTTGCAGAATTGTTTATTTGAACTAAGTTCAAATTTATCAATGTAATTATTGACACAGGAGAGAAATATATGAATATAATAAAATGTTGAGAATGATGGTATTAGCGTTTTTCTGGTACCTATGAAATTATCTTTACAAACAGAATAACTTCAAAGAACTAGACATTTTTATTTAAAGTGTATTTGAATCAATCCAAATTCTACATCAATGGGGAAACTTCTGCTTCGGAATCGAAAAGACATCAGGGTAACTTGCAAGCCATACGTTAGATTATTGAAACTAATCGGTATTTGATTTGGTTGGTTACACTGTTGAGGCCAAGCAACTTTTAGATTAGTGTTACATTAAGATATATCAACACATACAGAAAGCTCTCATAATGCTTGTATTTGATAGTTTAACAATTCTTTTGGTGGCAGACACATATTTGTAAAAGACATCCTCCCTTTTCCTGTAGGAAGAAATCGTATCAGACTCAGATCAAATATCACCATGTTATATTAAATGTTTAAACTTTGCATCAAAGAGAAGTCATGCAATACACGATGTAAGGTGTCAGACTACCACACAAAATATTCAAAAGCTTTGTCATCTTACAACACAAAGTTGGAAAGTAAAAAAAGCTGGCTATAGATTTCTTATAACCTAATTTATTTAGCTGGTCCTGGAACTAAAAGACCTATCCTCACAAGCAACATTGAAATTATCAGGTTAATTTATTTTAAAACAAGTCTAATGTTATCAACATGTCTTTACAGTTGGAGTAAAACGTTGTTATGAAGCTGACTAGACATAAAACATTTAGGTCAAAAGAAGATCCGGACAAGACAGAACAGACTTAGAGTAATCACACATCCTTGTAGTACACCTCAACTTCCCACAGGAAATCATTATGTTTGAGAGGTGGCCATGTTATAGGACTTGAGGTTACACTGAACATGTACTTGATACAGAATGATATCCTAGTATAGGATGTTTACAATATATGATTCCATAACACAAATTACTGTATAAATGTTAATAATTAAAAACTCCACTATAGTTTACATTATATAGATGGTAACAAATTCAAAAGGTTAAATTCCATTCTACAATAAAAGATACATTCACATACTAATATTTCAAAACTTCCTCAATTAATAAAAAAAATACTAAAAAAAGATACCAGTAATTCAATTTAAATTCATTTTTTTTATAGCTATGGATGCTGTTCTGTTTCAAAATTTGCTTCAATTCCATGTACATGCAGAGAACTAGAGGTGTATTTTGCTCATTCACCAACATAAAGACAATCCTACTGAATTAAATGAATGAAGCATAAGTTTTTGGACTGAACTGATTCAATTACTCTGTAATAACTTAGGCACAAAACAGTTTAAGACTTTTACAAAATGGATGCATACACAAAGTGAATATGACTTCCTCTTAATTCTTAAATCTAATTTTATATCTCCGAGATAAAATACATCTTTATTTTGTTTAATCAGTCTAATTATGAATCCAGCTCAGAAAAAAACAAGTATACAGAAATTATAATGGCTGGTCATGATAACAAGTTAAATACCTTTATTTACATTGATCAGAATTAAATAAAACTTTATTTAGTAAGAATTATGAAACAAGTTATTCAAACTTATAATTAATGATTAATATTAATGCCTATCATTGGCCAAGATGGAAATGCATGGGGGTCTTATTGTGGGAGGAAATTTGAGTACATGCAGAAACCACCACAGTCAGACAGGTGACATCCATACCTTTTCATGTCTGCTTGGGGAATCAAACCCCAGACAGCTAGGTGAAAAGTGAGTGAGTTACCAATGTGTAACCCCTTCACACATAAATCAAAATGAATCCTGTTAACTTCAACATAATTAAAAAGTTGAGGTATATATATATATATATACATATACATGTGTGTGGTAATTGCTAATAAACAACACAGCTAATACAGAGAAATATCAACAAGGCCAATTTCACACAGAAAAATATTTTCTATTTCTTTACAAGACCTTATATAATGACCTTGACCTTTGAATCACCATTGAATATTTCCAATTACTCTGAACGAGAGTACAAACCCAGCCTCCCAAAGACTTTGCACAAAAAGTTTCAAAGCACACTAAATGAATCATTTGAAGTACAATATACATGTATATGTATCCCCAATTTCAAAATACAATGTACAAGGCCTGGGACACTTTTGACCATTTTTATCCTACAATAAGCTATCTGATTTCTGACGCAACGTCAAGGAACCCCCTTATGACATTAGATAGATATAATTTAACTGAATAGTGAAATATATGGTAGGCTTATTGTCAGACATGTGCTTATTTGATGCAAAATAAATATGGTATATAAAGCTGGTCTTAAAATTAAAATCCAGAAATGAATTCTTGTAGAATTAGTGGCCCTGTATATAAAAATGTTGTAATTGTAACACAGATATAATGCTACCAACAGTTTGTTCTAACTAGCAGTTTAACAGAAAAAAAGCTCCTGGTTTAGGACATAAAATTTGGATAGTCACTTTACATACATATATATGTACACAAGAATTAAGTAAGATCTTGACACCAAGAACATCTCCGAGATATCTACATGTTCAGAATTTCTTTGTAAACATGATGTAGAGCTGTAGCGTCATGTGCATGTTTACCAAGGAAAATTGATTTCGTGAAACTACATTTAATTAAAAGATTAAAATTAACAGTTCACCTTGAATTTAAAAGGATCTACATTTTCAATTACATGTGTAAACATTACAGGTCCTAGAAGTGTATTCAGGAAGAGACATTAAAAATAGACTGTTACAGTTTTATAGTGATTATAAAATGTTACACATGTTACTGGAGTGAATGATATGTTAATGAGTGTAGATGTGATAGCTCTTTACTGTAGGTACAGTATATAATGTAAGATTGAATGTTCCACTTAATGTACCACCTGGCCTCGAGGTGTTGATATATATAATTTTCTTCTGTTTAAGATAGCTGTCATCCTAGCAAACAAATTTTTAGCCTCAATGTCCCTTCACATTGGGAGTTTTTAATTGATAATGAAAATTTTAATCTTTTTATTTCATATAATTTTTGTAGATCATCAATGAAAATAATAAAGATATCAAATGGCAGTCAAACACACTTAAGCTGATATCAGATGATTTGTTTATTTTCCAGAAAAGACTTCTGACTCCCCTCTTTCTTCTTCCCCTCCCCCACCTTACTTACCCCTACTCCCCACCCCAGCACTTCACCTCCAATGCTGCTCATTTCATAAAAATGAAACTGATTCCATCAAAATGTATTTTTTTAAAAAAAAAGACCAAAATAAAATATGCCATTATCTTGCACACTAAGGCCTGAACTCTGATTAAGTTATAGCCCACTAGGATCCAAGACCATCATACAAAATGGTTAGTCATAGTGAATGTACTGGGGCCAGACAGATTCCATATTCCATACATGTACATGGCATGTAATGGTGACTTTATTTGATTACCGTGAATCCATGGTCGTTCATGTTGAGGATGATGTTCTGGCCCATCACTGCCAGCCCAATTAATGCAATGTCTCCCCTAAAATGCAAAAATTACATACATATGTATATTTGTATATGTATTTAAAATATGACCAGGACAAATAGAAATATTGAAAAGTTTGTCATAAATCATAAACATTACTCTTGGAATTCATTATCATTTTTAAAATTTGAAGAAATTGATGCTGAAAATTTTTTATGTATTATAACCTCTCTCCAAAATTGCCATTGCTGAACTAAATGTACATGCCATTGTTACACAGCCTACACATCCAGTATAAATGACAATGGTTGTAATTAATCATCAAAAGAAGAGAAATCAACACAGCATTCTACTTTCAGTTATGACCAAATCAAAGGGCAGTAACATTTTCCAAAAACTGTCAGATTGAGGGGGCCACAATAATAATAAACTGCTGTTAAAAATTCAACGAAAGATTATAAAGACTGTGACAGAAGATCTCTAGACAAAACTTCAATGAAGAACAAAACAAAGGGCAATAACTCTTCCATATTACAATCCAATACAATTTATATACTCCAATATATACACATGTATTGGGAAGGGTTTTTTGGACTTAGGGATTTGAGCATTGTCTCATGCTTTTCCTGTGAGATTCGCTCAAATTTTAAGACCCCACCATATTTCTTAGTATTGAGATTTATCAAAATTTTGGAATTTGTGTTCTGAACTCACCTTAAAACATGTACAAGAGATACTGTGTAAGTGGATTCTGAATACTTACAGTAAATTGAAGAACTAAACTCTTTTGTATAACAACATAATTGAGTCATAATTTGTGATTTTGTTAACATGTTATATCATTTCTATATCTATATAATGTTGAATATCAACTTTAGATAAAGTATGAAATGTGTCAACAATATCTTAAATATTACAGTACATGAAAGTGTTCACCATAACATCAGGTTTATTAGCTGAAGTCTAATCCTTAAACTAATCTAATTGTTTGTGTATCAGCTTATGATCAGTATAAAACTTCAGGAAGTAAACAAAGGCTTCCAGTCCAAACTATCCATACTAAGTTAATTTTACATAAAATAATTGATGAGTTATCACTTTCAAATAGTGAAGACTTATGTTGCAGAAAAATGCTGAATTGACTGATTTAAAATGATGAAAAGATCTTAGAGACTGAAATATTCCTTACATGGAGCAACTTAATTAATTCATTTATATTCTGAATTTTAATATCATTTGATTTATGAAATTAATTGAACTCACTACATCTATTTAAGCAATAAAATGTCCCTGCATGTAATGATAATCAATATAAACACAACTTTCTGTGCTATCAACATTTAAAACAAATGTATTGATATCTGATAACAATATTTGACTTTCAACACTGGTTTTGAGCATGATCAACTTTTTAAAAGAATTCCCAAGGATACAAAAAAAATTGATAGAAAATAAAGAAAAAAATTTTCTTATTGGACCCAAAATGGACTTACACTACCCAAATTTCCGCACATTACATAAGATGGACATTTTTCTTTTTAGACATTGCTTTAGTTTATTAGTTGCAAAACAAGAGGTATGTAGATCTAGGGTTTATAATTTATAATAATTAAATCAAAGAAGTTTTTTTTACTGTTTGGGTTAAATATTTATTTCTATCTGTTCCTTACTGCAGTTGAAGAAATTGACCATCATATCAAAAGACCATGTTTCTTCCAACTATTTCTAAACGACAAGTTCCCCTTTTGACAGTTTTATATATGGTAATAATCTGATAAAAAATAAGAGGTTCCTAAAAATCTCCCATTTAATTGATCCTTGTGACTTACATGTAAGTATAACTTAATCTGCCATTACTATTAATAAATATCAGGTTCGGTTAACATTTACAGTAATGAACACGAAATTCCCTACATTCCATCACTCACTACAGCATTGAATGATCTAAATACATTATCAGTTACTGACACATTACCTTCATGTATTTAGCAATAACATACTAATATATGGAATCATTTAAAAGTTTGAAGATCTAGTACTTAAAACTTTAATTGATATATGAATTTTTCTTTCAAATTTGTTCTACCATGTACATATTTAAAATTTGATCATCGGAGATAGGTAATTTTTATGACAAAACTTCACTTGATATATAAAAGTAAAGGTTAAAAGGTTTACTAAGTAATTTACTTTTTCAACCATGACAAAAAACATCAACAGTGTAACACCAATCATATACAAGTATCAAAAATTATATACATATTTATTTTACTTGCCATTTTACCTTTTAATGCATTCATGCATGAAACATATATATAGAAATATTTTTACTCTTACAACTTAGTAACTTACAATTTAAAACTAGGTCACTGACTCAACTACAGCAGATGATATAAATTTACATTTAGTTACTGGACCAAAACAACTACAACATGAATCTGCTAGGTTGAATAAATGATTGCTGGGTTAAATTTCTATGTGTGTATTAACTTTGACAGCAAAAAATCATGCATCAGCTATCAATTATTTTTAAAGGCTTTTAAGACTTTCTTTCACTGAATCTAATTATCTGTCATCCCAATTAAATTTATAGATTCTTGCAGATTTTCAATTTGATATTTATAGAAAATCCATCGACTTTAAAGGTTCTAAAGCCCAATATAGTTAACATTTAATCATCATCAAATAAAAGTTTTGACTTACAAACTGTCAAATTTAATTTCATTTCCATTTGTATCAGCAGGAGGATGGGACTTATTACAACTCAATAACAATTAACCAAAGTATCCCTTCTTTTAAACATCTGTTGATATATATGACCTCTTCTTTGCTTTCTATGCACTGTACTGCCAAAAGACAGACCATGAACTGCTGTGTAAAAATGGTGTAATTCTGGAAACATTTTTTATAATTTTACAACAAGTTTTCATGTACAGGTACATACATTAAAAGGAAATTTTTAAACATGTATTTTTCAGTACTTTTGATTTTTGTCAAAAATAAAATTTCCTTCATTTTATGATTACAAAGTGAGAACTTCCCCACAAAATGTTGGTGGCTATGGGAATGAAAAATTGAAATTGAAAAACAATCAAGTATGTGCATGTACCATAGTACAAATCTAACTGGACCATAGATAACAATGTCATCAATTAACATCCTGTACATTTATATCCTGTTCAACCAATACTACTCACTGAGTACAAAATATGGGATGGTTCATGATCGGAGCAGATTAAGTATGTGTAAATATACATCCTGGATTATGAAAGTGTCTGTCCTATCGATTTATTAGCAACTGTATTATACAAGGGCCTTCTCGTAGACACTTGAGATGACGTTTCTGAATGCAAATATAAGATTTGAACCTGATTTGACATAAGTTTTGGACCTCCAGATTTCTTATTTGACTTCTGAAATAACCAAACACTTTGAGGTAGAAGTAAGTTGGTCTACAACGTACTTCCTCCTTCACATAACTAAGGATACAATGTAAAATAATGAAAAGATTTGCAGATAATTTCTAGTTTGGGTTCCAGAATGAGTACACAGTCCGTGTTTCATTATGATCAATAATGGAATTTACTCTCACCGTAGTAACTCACTAACACGAAAAGCAAACAACGGTAAACGGTCAATGATGAGAAGACATACGACCAAAAGTTGCAAGTCACTAAACCGGTACTAGCAAAGAAAATAAAGTATTTTATTTAAAAAAAAAAAACATAATCACTTGACTTGAACTCGCGTATGTCAGATAAATCAACATGCAATTACTACTTACTTGGGTTCAGCCATATTTCTTGTTTATAAGTGGAATGTCGATAAGCTTTATACTGTTACACTTTCCAACACAGAGTTGTAGAAAGGACTGCTCCGGTTTCTCACTCGACCGGCTGTGTGTGACCCTTAAAGGTCAAACGGAACCGGAAATCTCTATTTTCGCTTTGAATTGATCTAAAATATGACCCGTAGTACGGTTATATAAAATCAGAACAAAATAATATTTTTATGTATTTTATACATGTTTCGTAAAATATTATTTTATACTATTCAGTCATAAGTATATTTAAAGTATATAGTCCATATATTGACTTTACCTGAAATAATACAAAAAATAAAAATTACTTGAAATCTCTCAATATCCGGAAAGTGTCACTCACCGGCATAATGTCTTTAATAGTATGAATGACGAAAAACATGGTCGCCATCAACTGATTGCAAGCACGTTTTTATGCTTTAAATCATGGTTTTCCTAACCCCACTAAACCTCATAAGATCAAGAGGTCCAGACAAGGCATGGAGAAAACGGATGTACCTAAGGATGTCATGGGTATGTCTGCTCACTCTAAACAGATATTACAACAGAATATTCCGAAGGTCGTAATCCTCAAAGTTAAAACATTGGCATTGTATAACGAGATAGAAACGATTCAGCATTTTAGGTCAAAATTCTAACTTGACGATCTGCACTAAATCTGTTTCCTTAGTCCATTTGACATTAGTTTTAATTCTGAATACATGAAATGGTGACAAAAAAGAACTCTATTGAATAAGATAGATAACATGAGACAAATATGATAACCAGTTGAGACAGTTATGAAAAATGAATAAACAATTTTGTCTGCTGTTCTAGCAGCTGATATAATTATCTTGTAGTGATGATAAGAAAAAAGAGGAATTGCATTAAATTCCTTTATTCTAACTCTGGTGATGACTAGCAAAGTTTTGGATCCTGAGCTATTTTGATTGAGATAACCCATAAGATAAGAGAGGTGTGATGCTTTCTGATATTATGATTATATCAAAAGACATTGCCTCAGATAGACTTAAAATTGATAAGTTATATATAGTGGGACAAACGAGAAAACATCCTGACATTTAAAGAATTAGTAATGTTTGGGAGGGACCTAATAATGATTTTTGATGTCAATAGATGTCCGTTTCTTGCATGCTCTGTATGAACTTTGCTGAAACTTAAATATCATTGAATAAATTATCACACTTCAATGCTAAAGGTTGATGAGAGATTAAGAGAGCTCAAAGTCAATCTTTTTATAATCAAGTATGCAGCAAAGTTATGTAATACAGCAACAAAATAATTTTCTTTTAAAAATAATGCAGTTTTATGACATATGTCACATGATGTTGTATTAGATTTTATTTATATGCATCAATATATGCAAATTATTGTTAATCTTCCATTTACTTTCAAAAATAAGCCAAAAATGACTCATCTCAAACCAGTAAAATATGACTCCAGAGCATGTTCTATACCAGGTATACAATGATATATTGTTGCTTCTTTTTCACAGAGTTACTATGGAAGAAAGAGGCACTGTTTTTCTATTGCTGTTAGATCAGTAAGGAAAGCTATGATGTACTCAACAAAAGCAAAATATGAAAAGAAGAAAGCATTTCAAAAAGTAAGTACCTATAGTTCACTTGACACTTAAATCTTTCGCATTATTTAGTGTTTTGTATTAATACTGGCAGTGTTTCCAAAAAATTAACTATGTATATAATTTGCTAATTGGGTAATTGTTATGGGATTAGAGTGATAAAAAACAAGCTGCCCAAGCAGACTAGTGAACCATCAGTCTCTATGTGGACACTGCCTCTCAGCTAAGGGGGAATACCAACAAGCCAAATTGAACTGTCCCCTTCTACAAGTAAAATAAAAATTGTTCATAAAAAAAGAACCCAGATTCATTTATCATCAATAGTATATTTAAATTTGCTTGTGGAACAAAGGAAGGGAATGTTTATATATCTTTGTGTACAATTTGGTAATCTGTAAATATTATGTACACCAAGTCTTACATTTAACTTCCGAATCAACTGCTGCATCTGTCCTTGTTTGAAGAAAAACATACATACATGAAAAACAATATGCATTTATTACTTTTTTTTTCTGAAATGATGAAATGTCAAAAAAATGAGTCATTTAGGAAAATTAGGTTATTTATATTTTTGTAAGGGAGACAACCTCTAATTCATTATTGTCCAAAATGTTCTACAAGTGGAAAGTTGTCTCCCATCAGCTGCAAATAACCTTTATACATAGTGGATCCCCAAGGATTATATACTGATCTAAAGACAAAATTAGGGTAATGTAGCCTGTATCAGAGTAATTCAATGAAAGCACACAATGCATGTATTTACTTATTACTTACACATACATCAAAGGAATGATATTAACATAGGATTTTTAAGAGTGCAAAATTGCATTAGAAAACAGGGACATTTTGTAAGGAATCACATCATATTTATGTGTTTCCATTTTCAATTTGATAAAAAATCCAGTATAGCCACTTTGAGAATTTAGTGCCAAAATAAGTTGATTTTAATGTCTAATTCGAATATCTGCTCCAAATCATCAGATGTGGAGACTGAGGATAGGAGCTGCTTGTTCAGAACACAACCTGGATTACTATACATTTATGAGAACACTGGCAGAGGTAAGAAAATCTTACATACATGTATTCATTTTTTTCTTATTCAGATGTAGCTGTAATCATATTTCTCATTTTTGTTTGTATTGAAGTAAATTTCTCATTTGATATAAAGTCATTCCCACAAGGATAAAAATATTGGGATTCAATGTAATTGTAATTAAAGTTTCGCCTTCCTGTTACATTTGTATGAATTAATCATGAGTCGTCCTATGCATTTTGACATTAAAATACCCCGGGTAAATTATAATTGATCCAAGATACTCTAATGAGTTATAGAAAAAAATTAGAACGAAAGATTTTGAAATATTACACAAAGATCAAAATCTTTCCTACATATGGCACTAATGATGGTAGCCAATTTTGTAGAGATCTATTTGAATTACTCTATTATTCTGAAAGACCTTAGATAATTTATGATGTTAATTTTTGACCATTCAGATGACTGCCTATACATTTTTTGATTTGCTGAAATGTTTCTCAATCCTTGATATCCTGTTAAGTGAATTCTTAATAACTGAGCTTGAATAACATATTACCATAGTATTGACTGACAATGTTCTTTATTTGAAAGTTTTTTAAAATTCAAGATGGCCCCTTGACAAAATCTATTCACAAATATATTTCAGATAATATTGCCATGGCCCAAGTGTTAAAGCCCCAATGTAAATGACTAGGATAAATTTTTACTACAACAAATTGAAGAAATATGTGCATAAACTTGTCTTAAAACAATATATGCAGTGAGTTTTTACCAATATGACAAACTGAAATCACTCCAAAATTTGAATAACCAGCAATAAAACAAAAATATGTAATTATTCTTTTATAATCATGATGTATATGTATCAATGAATGAAATAAAGATTAAACCAAAAACAAAGTAACTAGTAAGAAAGAAGAAGAAAAAAAACCGCTTTAAATAGTTAAAAAAATGTTTGTTTGATTTATCAATACATAGCTCTTGTTGATATTTGTATTTCTTGATTGTTTTTGTCTGTAATTAGTGAGACAGGCCGAAAGTAAATATTTATTTATATTATTTGTTCCTTTTCTTGGATTCCAATACAGAAACAATACAACATACACCTGACATACAATGTAGATTATAATATTTTTTTTTATCTTAGAGTTATATGATGGACAAAACAGTGGATGCTTTTGTATTAAATTCACATGAACATTACAGAAATGTTTTCTCAGAATGTTTTCAAACATGTTTTTGTTTTTACAGTCCAACATTGCACTTAACAGAAAAGTATTAGCAGACCTTGCTATTTATGAGCCAAGAACATTTCAGGTAATGTCCCTGCTGTATTTCACTGCATGTCAAATGAAATGACTTATTAAAAATTCTTAGATATCATATATTTGACGTTTGGACATTCGTCTTTTTGTACCCAAAGCATGATTTTACCCACAGTTAAGCTAGTGCAATGTACGAAATTCAGGTCCATGACCCCTTAGGTATAGAGTTAAGACAGTTGATTTGAGGCAAGTGAAGTGAAAATATAATCTAGTGGCAGTGGTGCTCCTAATACAAACACATGTATAACTACAGTAAGTGTTTTTTTGTATTAAATCTTGCAGAGCCTCACAATTTTTGTGAAACAGAGAGCAGAAGAAATGGGATTATCAGATGCTCTGAAGCAGCCTCCGAAACATGTGATGACACGTGCCATGCTTAAGTTGCCAACGATTAGCACGTAGGCAGTGTCGTATATATTGTATGTGTGATTTTATAATTAAACTGTGAAATTGTGTTACATAAACAGTGTCTGTGTAAAATAGATTTTATGTCTGGCATCATGCATAGATCATGAAAACTAGTTAACCAGACAAAACCCAGTAATTTAATTCAGAGCTATGTGACCTGTGTGACCTATAGTCTGTTTCTCAATTGACAACAAGTTACAATCATTAAAAAGCATTAAGTATACTGTATTTCGTAAAATGAAAACAAAAAATGAAGAGGTGATACTGTGATAATGGAAATTTAGAATTTCAAGAGACTGGCATTTTTGGATGGAAAAGAATAATTCCCTAATTTATGTGTTAGCGAATTTGAGTATTTCCACCTTAAGCATTGTCTTTCCAGAGTCTGTGCAATGAATTTTAGTTTATATTGAAAAATATCTTCATGTGAAAATGTATTTTTAGATAAATCAGACTTTTCTAAAATGAAAACCAAATACAGGGAAGTTCTGATTCTTTACTAGGATTTTGTTTTTTGCTAGTTTGTAAAGTATACAAAGACTGGATATGATCTGCTGTTAACATGATCATTTTCACGGGGAGTTAATTTCACTATTTCAATAGACACATTGTATGTATTGTGATATGTACATGTATGTAATATGTCACAAATTCATGCATGCATGTAAAATTTACACTGCCAAATTACTTTAGCATATTTAGTGTGAATTCCATGTTAACAATAGAGACATGATGATCTGCCGACAGGTTATTAGGTATGCTGTGATGGAGAATGTCGTGATGGCTACCTGTAACAGGGACAGCATATTTCTGTGTGTGAGTGAAGAATGTAGCCTGTATTTGAATTAAAATGGTGATTTATTTCATCCTTCTTTCATGAAATTTGACTTTGTGTTGTCAGTTATTAGTCCATCATAAGATGATATGCAGTTAAAATCACTCTGCATCCACAATCCGTCAATGCTCCATCCAGGGTCCGTCTTTAAAATGTTCTTGTTATCACTTTTCTTGAAAACTGCTGAATGAATCTTTGTCACATTACATCTTAAGGTCCCTCTTAACTCCTACCTAGTTTTAACCTATTTATTTTAAGACTGATCAGTTAAAAAGTGGCCATATTGGATTTTTACAATGAAAGTTTGTCACAACTACTTCCTGAACTTTTCTTAGATTTCATATCATTGTATATGTTCCTCTTCGTCCATTGTAATAAGTTCTGATTTGTTCTGTTTGGAAACTATCAGAAAATTGAAATGATCGACAGGCAACCATCTTGGATTTTGACAGTTGAAGTTTATTATTTAGAGTCATAATAACGCAGGCCTATAGAACATTTTCCTATGCAAACTGTCATGAAAATCAGAGATCCAGGACACAGGGAAAGGAACAGGTCTGTGCTGTGGTGGTTGTGTCCTAATTGCTCTGGATGATATGTAATGGGCCTCCCTTATTTTGTTTAGTGAAAAAGTCACCAGCTAAAAAAAGGGAGCCCCACCTGAAAATGATTCTGGTTTTTTTGGTTTTTTTTTTTTTGTTGGTGGGAGGGGATGGGATGTGGGGATAAACTCGGCAAACAAACCAACCCAAACTATTCCATATGGCATCTTCAAGTATGTTTATACTGTGTTATGATAACCAGAAGTAGGCCACAGTGACCAATTATTTTTTTCCTTTGGCCTTCAAATATGGCTCTTGATCAAACACATAGAAAATATTGATCCCCTTTAAGCATACTAAGGATCAGTTACCTGATTTAGATGAATAAATGACAGAAATAAGTTATGAATTATATTAACACAAGATAAAATATATCAAACCCTTCATAAACACAGCTATGAATCTTTCAGGATTAAAGTTTAATACTAGTCATGGATGATCGAAAGGATTTAGACAAAATCAGTCTGAAGCATCCTCGAGGGAAGACACATTATTATTTTATTTACTCATTTATTTTGTAAATGGTGAGTTTGACACCCTGGGGCCTGAGCAGCCATATCCAAAGTGGGAAATTGAACATTTACAAAAAAATTCTTCTTTAGGAATGCTTGTTCAAATTTGGTCTGAAATATTCTTACGTAAAGGGAACTCATTTTGTGAAAACGATGGGTCTCAATTCTGTAAAAGTCTTCTTCTTCTGTAAGAATGTCAAGATTCTGTCCCAGTTTGGTTTGAACACCCCTAGAGAGAAGGAAATCCCATTTTGTATCCATTGTGCGTTTTTTGGCCCCTTGTGGTTTTAGGCACCAAAAAGTGGAATTTGTGTAAATGGTTTCCTTGATCTCTAATGGGCAATGGGAATAAAGATATAATTCTTCAGAATTTCTTTACTTTTAATTTGGTTAAAGCATTTTCAACTAAATATATGTAAAGAAGGTGAGCGATACAGGGCCCATGGACCTCATCTTTGAAATATATCTTTACATAGTCAATGCCAATATGGAAACCACAACATAGAAGATAAGTGAACGGGATTTCAAAACAAACTGCCAATTATTTGAGCTTTGGTTTAAAATGAAGATAACAAGTGATTTCAAAATAACCATGAAGGAATGATTGTGTATAAAAATGAATGCTTAAAGACTATTTCTAAGGATCGTAATAAAGGCATGAATAACTTGAAATCAGTTAATGATAGATGCAGTTGGGGTCTTCCCTGAACATCAACTCTGCCTATGACAACATGTTTACATAGGAGGTCAGTTGTGATGATAGTGAGTTATAGTCTGGTGCAGAATTGTACAGGTAAATCATATAATCAAGTTCTGAGAACTGTTAATAACTGTAAAATAAAGGAATATATATTTGTTATCTACTGTTCTAATCCCATGCTGTTCACTGGGAAATGTATAAAAGCCCAGTACATTTTGGAGAATTATATTTAAATCTGCATTTTGTAGCATCAGTTTCTTATTGCTTTATTGCTTGATTCATTACTTAACTTTTGTCATATATGTTATTTAATCTTGTACGTTTTCAGCTTAGTGTTAAGTGTGTTTAATTTGAGTGATATTATTATCTGTGTTGTTTGGTACAAGTACTGGATGGCTAACGCTCAGATCAACGTTAAGTTCATCACCAACAAAAGAGGCCGACAGAACCTTTCGCATAATGGGTTTCATCTACAGACAGATTTGAAGGAACGGCAACAGGACATTCTGGAGGTGTTCGACCTCAGGCTGTTCAGCATCCCTCTCGACAGTAGAAAACATACCAGCTAACTCTGGAAGAAATCAACACAACCACACCTCAGACCCAGCCAGTGTTGTAGCCAAACAGATCATGAACCAGATCACCAACAAATGCGTAGAATCTTTCCTACCCATTCCGTCCATCTTTAAGGAGGAGCTCAACCAACTCTGAGACAACGACTGTGATGACACTTCAAAGGCCGTGGTCCAGCGACTGCCAACATTCTACACAGCCAAATTATCTCTCTACCGTGCTCGCCGTAAGCAGACTCCTCCACTACCAAATACTTTGGCGGCCATCCCCTTGGATGGAAGATGGGCAGAAACATCTACAGGCGAACCAATTCTCCTCTTTGACGACGGTGAACAGAACAACAGGATGATCGCATTCGCTACATCAGAAAACCTGGCTGAACTTGCAGCATCTAGCACATTCTTCTATGATTGCACATTTTACACCTGTCCAACCATGTTTCACCAGATTTACAGCATCCATGTACAGAAGGCATCATGACCCCAGTTGTATATGCAGTACTTCCCGGAAAGAGCCAGGTTATCTACAACCGTTTCTTCACGCTACTACAGGATCACATGATACACTTCCAGATTCCATTCTGACCCACTACAGCCTTCGTCGATTTTGCGGTAAACTGAAGGAGAAGGTACTGCATGCCCACCCCAACATCTACACCATTATCCAGACGCATAAGGACATACAGAACATGAATGTTATCAGCCGGATTAAGAGAGATGCATGAGGCACTATTCAACCTTGGAAGAAGAAATACGCCAACATTGACAGACGCCTGGCCACCTTGATGGACCGTTATCAGACTGGGACGATTGACCTGATGAGCTATGCTGATTCAGCATCCGAGATTCTCCATCTTGGATTAGAGTGTTTTGTGTTTTCTAGAAGAGACTTATCTTGTAATTGCCTATAAAAGGTTGCAAAAGGACATATTATCTAGATAAAGTGGAAAATGTATTGTTATAGATAAACGGGTCAGTGCTAATTCAGCTTCATTTTAGTGTTAAAATGCACATATTGATTCACTATTACATGCATAAATTTAAATTCAATTTAATTGCTACATCAGTATATCAATGTGACTTAATGAATTCTATTTATTAATTAAACATAATCTCATATGATAATAATTAAATAATGAATAATAATATTAAATATTAATATTTTATAGCTATTTTATGATACTTTAATATGCTAAAATTGTGTTACAATTAATTAAAACAAATGGAAACTTGATCTATTTCACTATTGATATGTAAGTATCCTATATACAAAATAAGTTGACATTCTCAGTTGAAACAGATTATAACCTTAGCTTCAAAGGATTCCCTATATAAACACCTTCCTTTCAAGTTGGCAGAGTTGGAATGATCCATGCAGTGTACTCATTTTAACAAACTACATAGTGCAGCCGTTTTGCCCTCAAGCGTGGAAGAAGTCTTTAGTGATTTCGAGGTTTAGACCTGCGAAAATATAGCTGTGGATGCGAGAAAAATAGATCTCTGATGTATTCTACCGTAAAATCTTAATCTAAATGGTAAGAAAATTGTTTATCAAATATTTTAAGATACAAGACAGCATTTGACCCTTCACAACAAAAACAAAAACTGTCTTTTCAATTAATCATATTTTACCAAAGCGTTTGGCGAACACCTGTAACCATAAGCTATAACCTGTATCCAACCGGGTCAAAAGCTGTGACTCTCGTGTCACTATATATACGTTATCAGAACTGATCTTGAGATAGATGTTATACTACCTACATGTATTTGTCTACCCCTTAACTGACAGGTTAGTGATGGCGGAGTTCCTTACACGATGGCTCCTGCTGATGGGAATTATTTCGGCAGTAAATTCTAAACCACCACACATTGTTTTCATCGTGGCTGATGATCTGGGTAAATATGATTTGATAACAACCAAACATAATGTTTATGATGGTGATAGATAAGGTTATCCTAGTGTGACAAACCTTAGGTTTCATAAATTTGTTTACAAAGATACAGATGTTGTGTTATTACACCATATATATAACACAGTCGAAATATAGATGTCATAAACTTAGTATGCAAATCAGAAACTGCGCCATTCTCTCTTCATAAAATTCTAATATAAATGATGATTTGTAATGAAATTATTACCAAGTCGATTATCGTTATGTATTTTGTGAAACTCAATACCTTGTAATAGGCTTGATTCAATAACAAGACCACTAAGATGTATAATGCTACAAACTGCAAAAAAGTTAGAATTTCTTTTACTTATAGTCTTTGGAAAGCCAGGAATTATACGTCATATCTACAATGTAATAAACACATAATTCAAAGTGACCATTTCTGAACAAAGTTGTATACCATCATTATGTATATTGTGCATGTTTCGTTGGGGATTACTCATTTTCAGCAGGTTTGGTCAAAGGATCAATAATCTGGTAGCGTTTTACTGAATATTGTCTTCCATCTTCAGATTGGTGTTCTTATCTTCGTGAGCGATTTCAGATTAGGTTGTGTCCGATTATCGTTAGTATGCATGACCGTTCCGTTGTTACATATAGGTATATTGTATGTTGGATAAACCTTTGCTAGTGTTGTCGATGAAACAGGGGATGCCTACCCTTTCTTATTCTTTATTGTCATGCATGAAAAGGACACACACAAACTCAATGGGAACGTCTTTTTCTTCTTTTCTACCACAGGTTGGAATGATGTTGGTTTTAACAATCCGCATATGATAACACCGCACATTGATAAACTAGCAGGGGAAGGCGTTATACTGAATCAGTCCTATGTCCAGCCACTCTGTAGTCCGTACGTATATAAAATTTCATTTCAACCTACAGTGTCACTAATTTGAACATCTGACATAGAACGTGTTCTGTTCAACATTAAACCTTACTGCATTATACTAGGAAATTTTACAAAAAAGTTTTCACCTTGACATATATCTAATATTATAATATTTTTGTAACATATCATATTGTTAAATATTCCTTTATGGTTTTTACTAAATTTGTTACAGATCTCGCCATTCCTTTATGACCGGCTACTATCCATTTCATGCAGGCCTTCAGGTATGATAATTCATATTTGTATAACGAGGAACTATTCCTCCAGTCATACAACATTTAGATATACACAGAAGAGTGTTTATTGTCGGTAATATATTGTAGTTTGAAGATGTTACCGTCATGTTTATAGTCATATCCGTGTACACCATCATGGTGATCAGTACCGTCACTGTCAGATTCAATACTACGCTACCAACACTACGATCACCAACACAACTAACACCGCCATCATCATAAACCTAACCAACACCTCCATCACCACAAAGACAACCAGCACCGCCACCAACACAAGCAACACCTCCATCACCACAAAGACAACCAACACCGCCATCACCACAAACATAACCAACATCGCCATCACCACAAACACAAGCAACACCTCCATCACCACAAACACAAGCAACACCTCCATCATCACAAACAAAAACCTTCACCGCCATCACCACAAACACAACCAACACCTCCATCACCACAAACACAAGCAACGCCGCCATTACCACAAACACAAGCAACTTCGCAATCACCACAAACACAACCTTTACCACCATCACCACAAACACAACCAACATCGCCATCACCACAAACACAACCATCACCGCCATCACCACACACACAACCCATCATCGCCATCACCACAAATACAAGCAACACTTTCATTATTACAAACACAAATTCAATTATAACAGCAACACATGCCCTTACACTATTAACGATTACCACATCATCATCACATTAACTGCCGCCTCCATTACAATTACAATTTGTAATTGTTTACCTTTATTACTACTGATTAGAAATTTCGAAATCTAATTTATTGATTTCTCTGATAATGTACTGTAAACATAAAAGTATAGCAAAAGAAAGAAACCATCTTAATCTCACATACACACTAGATTAATATAATCTATCTTCCAGCACCGTGTTATCATGCCGGGACAGGCCGTATGCTCTCCTCTGAATATGCAGTTCCTCCCAAAGTACTTGAAAGAGCTAGGGTATGCTACCCATATGGTGGGAAAGTAAGTGGTAATTTATTTAAAATAATTAATACAGTGGAATAATTGAATATTCGATTTAAGTGAGATCGAATGTTTAATGAAATGTTTGGCCGGAACAGACGAAATATTCGAATCAAAGGGGTTTTTCGAGTTATACAAATTCTCGATAACGAGGTTCCGCTGTAAACTGAATATATATCATTTCATCTACATATATATACATCACTGTTGATAAAAGAAATCCGGATATAATATCAAGTTATCTTGCTATGAAACATAATATATGCAATATACAATGAAAACAAATGACCAACCAACGAGTTTGGAACATGTAAGGGGATATAAGAATGTTTCTCAGTGGTGTAAAATTGAAGGCAAACGTTAATGTAACAACAGCTGCAAGCAATTTATTGAAGTCAAGATATTAGTTCATGATAATATCATGTTAAAATATTTTCCTGAACTTTTGACCATGATATGAGGATATTTCGGTCAGGATATATCTCCTGCTCTTCTTTATTGCCGTGATTATTTCGGTGAAAGATGTTGACAGCAAAAAGAGATTCACAACACGTTTTCGAAATATGTAGATTTGATACTATAGGGATGTGTTATGTTTGAGAACGTGGCATTATCTTCTTCGAATGATGGGTATCGGCGATGGAGCCGGGAGAACACTTTGTCATATTTTCGGTGAACGTTTTGTATACATCTTTCTGTTGTCCATATGTTGCAGTTGTATCAAATTTGTGTTTGAATTAAGATACTGTTCGATATTTTTTCTTGTTTCCATTGAAGGCAAACAAAAAGTATTTCACTTGATGTTTAAAATATGATTTTGAATGAATGCACACGAAAATATAAAAAAAAATGACATTATTTTCAAATGAAAATCATGCTAGTATAGAACGGTTTATCAACATATGGAAGGGATCTTTGAGTTACTTATGAAGATAATTCGTATCCATTTATGTTTCAGGTGGCATCTAGGGTTCTGTAAATGGGAGTGCACTCCGACACATCGTGGGTTCGATTCCTTTTTTGGTTACTACAATGCGCAAGAGGATTATTACACTCATGATTGGGGTAACGACCAAAAGCATTTTAAAGAATATATTAACAAAGAGAATGGCGATATGTTTTTGATACAATTTTTAACACTGCGAATAACTGTGAAATCACGTATTTTCGCGGAGCAAAATGTTTGTCATTTTTAGAAAAAAGATTATCTATGTATACCAATTTCAACATTTTGTGTACATATAAAATCGTGTAATAAGAGTATAATAATTGGTATTTTTAATAAAATAACGATGTATTTTACGGCAGTTTAGGAAAGTACGTCATCTATCAGTTATTAACTTATTATTAGCTTGTTTTTCATAAAAAATGATTTACAGAAGGTGGCTATGATTTAAGACAAAATGAACGCCTCGCTACAGAATTTAATGGAACATATTCCCTTGTAAGTATAAAATAGATCATGTCAGGAAGTGTATATTTTATCACAAGCAGTTTATTATTTTCTGTACTATATAATAGATGAATAAATAAATAAGATTTTTATTAACGTCTGTGCAAAATAATAAAGAAATGAAATATTCATTATTTTCTGTGCAAAATAATAAGCAGATAGATAAAATTTGTTTAAAATCAATACTTCCATATAATATTTATATGGTTACCCTAGTTAGTGTGCATAACAAAATGATAATTTTCAATGCTACCTATACCACTTGTGCATGTACATTCACATTTGTCCTTTTCATACACACAAGTTTTGAAATTATTCATTATGAGAGGTAGATATATATACTGATCGGGTTTTGTTTATCTCGGGTTTGCTGCACTGCTTTGCTTTTTCGATTCATTACAATTTAAGCGCCTTTAAAACGATATTTTTTACAATAAATTGAATTTCAGAATACTGTTCAAAACGCCTTTATCATTGCTCATGTGTCAACAGGTGATGTTTCATAGTGATTTATCTCTACTGATACTTCTGTGTTATAGTATTCATACGACAAAGCAGCCGCTGATATCATCCTGAAACACAATGCCAGCCAACCTTTATTCTTATATATGGCATTTCAAAACGTTCATGACCCAATAGAGGTAAGGAAACAGTGTTTTAATTGCTAATCAGAGTTTTTAAAGCATGAAACAAAATACTGACATCTAATTGGAAATGCAAACTAAAATTAGTTGATTTACAAGGAGACTTCTGAAAAAGTTCAAGAAGAATAAGACCCTGTGTTTCGAAAGTGTTCAGTATCGTCTGATTCATCAACGACACCCACCATGTAAAACGTAGTCAATCCAAGTAAGGAATATCACGTTCTCAACTGAGAGCAATGTTAACAACAACGGAAGCATTACACTAAAGAGTATCAAACATGATTTCCTTCATATCGTGCAAAAAGATTGTGTCCTAGTGAGATCATTATGTTGATCGTAAAGCTTCCTGGTAATCAACGATAATGGTTGTCATTTATGAATATTTTTTCTTGCGTATACATAGTTTGACTAAAGCTTGTAGTAAAAAGGTTGAATATCTCGCAAAAGTAAAAAACAAATATGTTCGTTTTGTAAAATAGGCTCTATTATTTTCATTCTTTTATAAACTTTTTCCTAATTTCAATCGACCTCCAAAACAAATATGAAAAGTAGAAAATAACAACCATGACAGCATATAAGGCTCTTGTATTGTATTGAACAGCGGGTCCAAAACATCAATGAAAATTACTGTTTTAGTTGGGCTTTTTTAACAGTGTTAAGGATTAAATGTCATATTAAGCGGAAATAAGTGAAATTTACCTTTCAATAAATATTCACTCAAATAAAAACAGGAGAGAAGTATTAAAGATAATTTATTCATATATTTCTGTTGCTAAGTTAAACATGACTTATATTAGATGGATACACAGTAAAATGTTTTATAATTATATAAGATAATTGGATTTTGCTTTGTGGTTGATTTTGATTCAGGTGCCCAAGAAATTCGAGGATATGTATCCCGATATTCAGAATGAAGGTCGGCGTAAATTTTCAGGTAAGATGTAAACGTACCATCATGGCTTAAACTTGTTGATATTGTGTTCATATTGTCATTCATGTTTTAATCATTTCATAGCAGTAAAGGTGAAATATATCTATTATAAAATTATTGCCCTTTGTCAATCATTGTTCAACAGATACATCAATAAATAGCAGCTTATTATTTAGAATAAGATACAGTGTTAGTTAAACATCAAGTGAAACTGAATCATACAATCTTTACATCATTGGAAAGGTATTAAAACAACAAGAAAGTATCAACATGAGACCATTATACTTAAACACAAATTCAATAAAACTAGGACGGCATATGAACGAAAGTGGAGACTCTTGCACTTTTGTGCTCATACTCAAGTCTGCACCCCGATGAGAACGTACTCAAAATTTGTATTCATCAAACTTTCTGAGAACGTGCTCTGCTGTGCACGGTAACCAAGGGAGCTTTGTCAGGCGTTCCGGAAGAGTAAGCGTCTTCTGCTTCATAGACTACATCCGCCATATAAATATTGGTCAATTTAGGTAAGTAATGTCACCTTCTAAAATGAAAACAACAACGGAACTAATAAACAATGAGCACCAAACACCACGAACTTCGTATAGCAGAAAGAAATACAATATTTCTCATTGAGTTTACTATGACGACCGTAAAATGTCCCCATAATTTTCATTGATGTATGGTATAATTCAAAACTTGTTTCTAAGTTAGCTGAAGATTCAATTTTCATAACAATTACTTATCATAACATATTAAGGGCATCATCACAACATCAGCAAGTCATTTTCTACATTTACATAAGCAGCCTGATATCAAGTGAATTCACTCGTGTAACATTTTTTATCACTAGTGTAATAAACCCTGGGATGTTTTCACATTGCCTGCGCCTATCAGAAATTCGTTTAAGATGTCATAATATTGGTATTGGCGTAACGTCATGAATTGAAAATGGCTCAACGATATGATTGCCTCCGATTCCTATTGTCCTCTATATTTTTACTTTAAAACGTTTCTGAGTCATATGAGTCGCGACGTTTTACTTTTTGCTTGGCAAGGCTTACAAAAATTAAACCTTTTCAGACATATCAAATACATATATAAATTTACTTCTCTCTCTGACAACAATGCTCACAGTACTAAGAAAAAAATTGTCAACAAACTTATCGATATTAATTAAAATCTTTGAATAGAATATCATTTACTAACCTTGTATATCTTACTCTGGAATTATAATTAAAATGCTATTTTGCTTTGTGTCTTTTGTAAAATCTTCGAATTTGCAGGTGGAAACCACTGCTGGTGAACTTTTAAGTCCCCAATGTTTGCCTTAATCTCATGCCACTTTTTAAAAATTCATTCGAATTGTGGTTCAGAATATGTACATTAATACACATATAAGCATGACGTCCTTCTAAAATTATCAAATATTATCAAGCTGCATAATTTATTTAATTATAAGGCTAAGGGACGTCCTAATCGACCACTTTGGATTTTCCTCAGTCGCCTCCTAGACCCTTAGCATCACAGAGGAGTCTTGGAAGGACGAATGAAGTTAAATTCATCGGTTAGCGCTATACTTTTGCACTCTAAATTCATGTGAAATTTTGTACAATCTATAGAATTTTGTATTGTTTTCTTTTCTTACATGAAATAATGTAGAGATAAATATTATCATTTTATTTGAGAAGAATCGGGTAAGTTACTGGTTTTCTGACCCGTAATTCTTCATTTTACGGTGGTGGGTGGTGCAGTGGTAACAAACTCACCTTTCATCGAGACGTTCGGGGTTCGATTCCATGACCACAAGGGGTTTTCCCAGTTACTCTGGTTACCTCCTAAAAACCTTTTTTTTTTTAAATGAAAATCACTATTTTATCGACATTTGACTTCATGGACAAATATAGCCTCATAAATATATTTGTACTAATTCTAATAGCAATTATAACAGCTCGCGGACATATGAATTCATGTACTAAGTATACACTGAAAGTCAACGAAAATAAATCTCCCGCAAAAATGAATATGTTTACAGTAACATAAACCGATAATTTGTTGTTATTATGTGAACAGGCAACATGCAGCTCCTCATGAGGAAAGGGGTAAAACGGTCTACGTCTACATATTTTGTTCAGCACTTAAACTCTTCAGAGAATTGTATTCATACAGGTATGGTCACAGCTCTGGACGAAGCAGTGGGAAACATTACGAACAAATTAGCACAGAAGGGCATGATGGACGATACTCTATTTGTGTTTACTGCTGACGTAAGTTTTCGTTTAATTAATTGCTTGGCCATGTTTTATCTAATTCAATATTGAAATAGAATATTAAGAAATATACTATAAAGTATTTTTTAATTTTTTTTTCAACCATGGACGGGTCGACTACTGACACACATGTGAATGACGCCTTTCTGTACTGATTCATTATCAAGAAGAACCGAATGATGAACATAAAAAGCTGTATATATTATCATTATGATTGATTCATAAGAGGATTCTTAATTTTGGACAGATCTTATCTGTATCAACACTTTTCAAGGCCTTTCATTTTACCCTGATCAATCAGTTTGTCATTTGTCAACATATGTGACCGCTGGTTGCCCCAACAATATTAACATTATAAGATTGACATCTGCTTCGCGCGCTCAAAAGGGTGTCTCACAAACATATCACATTCTCCCACGCATACACACGTAGTCATCCTTATATAAGTAAAGTTGCTAATAAGACGTAAATAGATCCTAATCATTGTGAGACTTATTTGTGATACTCAGAGACTGCAAAGTTTAAACTCTAGGGCTACTGAGAAATCCATAATTGCTTGAAAGAAATTACAAGAAAATTATAGACGGGGTGGGGGGATGCTGTACAAGTGTACGAGTCATTAAATTGCAGAATTTTCAAATATGATATGATTTCAAAACGTTAAAAATATATATCCATCAAAGAAAAAAAAAGAAAGAAAAAAGTAAGGAAGGAAGAAGGAACGAAGGAAGGAAGTACAAAGTTGTGGATTTTTTCGTGAGATGGATGCTGTGTTTGGAAAAATGATTAATTTCATGAATTTTCAATGTTATAATCATATCAATCTTATTATTTATCAATATTCAACTCAGAAAAAATGTTTCACTTCAGAATGGTGGATGGCCACTATACTATGGAAACAACTACCCACTAAGAGGAGCCAAGTTTACGATATACGAGGGCGGTACTAGAGCAGCAGGGTTTGTACGAGGGCCAGGATTAAACGTCACTGGCAAACGGTTCGACGGGTATGTTTAAATGTATATGTAACAGACATTTACGACAAGATCTAAAATCGTACACGAAATATTTTTTTCATTTTTGTTTTAAACATTTGTTCTTAAAGTTTCATCTTGTCTGATAGTCTACTGATATGTACGAGTTTCCGTATTTGGTGGAGAAAACGAGTTTAAGGATTTTTTTCATTTCGGCGAGATAAAAATGAAAAAAAAAACTGACGAGTTGCATTATTCTGATATCAAATGGAAACGAATTTAGGATTATTTTTATCACAGTATCGATTATTCAGGAAGAAACGAACTTTTTTACGTAACACTACGTACATCTTCAAGTCATGCAGAAATATAGCATGGATATATTCACTGAATATCAAGGCAATCATGTGGGAATATTTTTGTTGTGTGACTGAGAAAATCCGATCTCTGAGATTGGGCAAGAAGACTTCATTAGGTTTTGACAAAATGCCTGAAACTGAGAATTTTTGCACTGGAAATTATCATCCTAAATTGATACCCAGTCTAAAATTAGTAACAGGGAATTCCTATGACACGAGGTTATCGTTGCAAATTGATAACTACGCCTAGAATAACTTCTTTTTAGTTTGAAACTTATCTTGAGTTATAATCTAGGCGTCTTAAATGCCTAGTGGTCGAGGGGGAAAATCACATTTCGAAGGTTGACAAGTCCTTAACATATAAGAGGTCAACAATTGCATATTCACTCGGTTGATATTGGTAATTTTCTGTTAATACTGATGTGTTTTATTCGCGTTCTCTCTAACACTAGTTTGATGCATGCAGTTGACTGGCTACCTACTCTGGTATCAGTTGGAGGAGGGAGTTCACCTCCGGGTAAGTACGATGGAATGTGGCATTAATCACGATACGGCAGAATTATGCTACAACAATTCCAAGAGATCAAGGAAAATATCAAGTGACTGATCTTGCGATAACATTAATACAAATAATTATCATTTGATTATGTCTAAGAAATCATTTGAAATAACGTTTCCAAAAATATTGACAAGATCAATTTAGTTTCATAATTCAAAGATTAAATACTAAGTAAACAAAGGAAAGGTTTTTAATTTAAAGCATTATTATCCCTGATACATATTCTACGTCGATAGCATTTAAAGGAGCACGTGCTGTGCGTTGTATATTGCAATATGCGTTTCCTGTAAACAGTTCGTATAATTGATTACAGAAAAAACGATATCAGAGAAAAACGGGAAAAAATGACGAAAATATAGACTATTTTCACAATATAAAATTTTTGGATATAAAAATCAATAATTGAAGAAAATTAAGTAGGAAATTAAATATTTTTGAAAGCTGATTGTCTTTTATTGTATCAATAGATTTATCAAAGTCGTTTTTTTTAATTTTAGCGGGCTATAAAGGAGACGGTGTGAACATGTGGCCCGCCCTGAGTCAGCTCTCCACGTCGCCTAGGACAGAACTAGTGTATAATATTGACGACTTATTTCCATATGAGGAGGGACATGCGGCAATAAGGTGAGAAATGATACTGCCAATATTAAAAATTTTCTTGTTCTATTTTTTCTACTTTTACGAGGGTAAAATAAGACAGAGGAAAATATACCATGAAAATATAATTAATGAAGAACCTATTGCTCCTCGAAGAAAACGCTCTTTTTGCGTTCAGTGGTAAAAACATGAAAATGTGCTAATTTCACATAGAGATCGGCCTGTAAATATTTCACCCTTCTGGACCATTCACCTATACATTGCTTTGTGCCATCAAAGTTGGTTCCCTTGGCTTTATCCAATTTAATCAATAACGCACTAGCCTAATTAAATTATTACATAATTAGATAACTACGAACACCGATGGTCACAAAACAGAGGGAAAATATTTGATTATTTTAATGGAATAGGAAAGTTCGACCTATAAATTAAATAACAAAATACTAAAACAATAAGTATACCATCAATATTAGTGATTTTCAAGCAGTTCGTGAGAAAAACGTCAACTTGTTGTGCACAAATGACATTTTTAATGTCTTCTGTATTCAGTCCATTCAAAATTATTTAGCATATCGATAGCTTTATCTCTTACCCTAACCCTGCCCAAAGATCGAAACGTCACCATTGGAGCAAAGTGTTGATTTTTGGCTTTGATTTTTTTATATCCCCAACGACTTCTTGAACGATAGTGGACATAGGAGACCACCCTGTTACACTCCAAACCTCCATGTACACGTGTGCCTTTCCTGATATATAACAACCCCTAGCATTTATACAAGTAATGCCGACATCTCCTTGAATAACTATATCGGTCAATTATAATTAGGACGTTAAATACAATGTTTCATTGTATCGAATGTCACTATACAAATCTTCTAAGAATATTTTATTTACCCCATATACCCCAATATTACCAATTATTTTTTGACATTATTTTCTACATTTTCTACTTAGACGGAGACCGTAAACGCCTAATACAGTACCATTCTCACAATGAGAGGTAGATGTGTATGTGCATGTTGTAATGGTGTCTTTAGGAGAGACATTAAAACCAAGAAATCTGCTAGCAATATAAGACTTCCCCAAAACAATTAGTTGTTTGATGCTTTGAAAGCAGATGGCAATAACTTAACTAATGATCAAGAGATTGGTATGTGTGCTAAGTTCTTTTAAGTATCATTAGTCTTCCCAAGCAAAATGCACACTATGTATGTAAAGTTTCAATCAAAACTAGACCATATTGCCCAAGCGCGCAAAACACCAACTCATCTTTCATCAAAAGCTGTAGTGTCATTCGTCCTCACGTATTAGTTCACATCATCTGATAGGGAAAGATGTTATCCTTATCGTTTAAATCTGCACTGATGAAATGAAATATTTGCTTCCCAGGTACAATCCAGCCTGTAAAGCCTTGACTGGTTGGACGAGGACACAATTTCTAAATATTCTTTCTGATTGTTCTTTCTCTATTGGCACTGGTATTTACACTCCAAACCAACAGCATACACTTAAGATTAACATATGGAAACAGTGTCAATATCCAGTATATCCAAAATATTTCATTTCATAGCAAAAGCGTTAGAAACAACCATTGTTCCTTTGTAGAAAATACTCTGGAGCACAACATTATTTTCATAAGCATTTACTGGCTAGCGGGCGACTGCCATACTTGCTTTATTCCTAAAATTTCTGATCATCAGCTTCAGAGAAGCATTTCATGAGCATAGTCTTGCTTGATGGTTACATTCTGGACATAGACGAACGATGATGATGCGAAGATTATTAAAGCCATCATTAATAGTCTCTCCTGGCTGATAAAAGATGACTACGTCGTTGTTAATAGAGGGTTTAGGGGTGTTTTGCCAGATTTGGAATCACGTAGTTTGACAACAAACATGCCGTCTTATCTCAAACCTTGACACACTCAACATGGCGACTTGCAAGCTAACCTTGATAGATCAATAAGTAAATCAAGATGGTAGTTGAGTCATCTCACGACCGCTTCAAGTAACAGTTGTTTTTTTTCAAAACACAACTTCAACTATTTCATTGATGTTATTTTTTTTTTCATTTTTGGCACAAAAAGGGCGTTTTTATTCATGCGTATGTATATGTTTGGACTTAAATGCCTGTTTGTAAATGTACGACTACAGAAGCTACCAATGCCACCTACAAACCGTCGTATTTGCACCTCAGGCCATTTTTAAACCCCGCCTTTATATACACGTGCATACTTGTCATGGTTTGTTAGAGTGGGAAATTACAAGCTGATTGACGGATACCCAGGCCTCTACCCTGATTGGTACAAACCGCAGACAGAGGAGAGCGACTATAGCATATCCGAAATCGATGCCGAGCAGTTCGAACGAAACCTGGCGAGCAAATATCAGCTTTATAACCTGAAAGGTGAATGTGGTTCATGCTTAGGCTATCCAGACTTTGAATAAGAAACTGAATATAAAAGTATACGGACTTCATATAATAAAATGATTGCGGCATTTTAAAAAAAATATTTTGATAGTTATCATATACAGTAATGCATTTTGACAGTGTTAAATGGCCAGCAACCAAGTTGTCAAGGGTACAGATATCAACTTTACAATTTAAAAGGTTGGTATTTATGTAAATATATATATACGATCTTGCATATAACAAATTATGAAGCGTCATAATTATTATTGAATGGCAAAATAGCGGATTACGTTGTAAAGCTTACATCAATTTTGGTAAGGGAGATTATATTTCCAGATTCAAGAACTCCATCCTTTCGTTGAAAGATGAAGATCTCATTTTTTTCTATATAACTGTTTTTGCAGACGATCCGACAGAGCATAACGACCTGTCTTCTAAGGAACCAGATATTGTTAGCAAGCTAGCCGCAAGACTAAAATACTACCATGACACAATGGTACCGGCGAACTATCCTTTACCCAACCCTTTCAGCAGTCCAAAACTTCACGGCGGAGCATGGTCACCGGGGTGGTGTTGAACGTTGAACTTGTCGTAGTAGTATGACACTTAAACGTGTAAAAAAGATAATGTTAAGATATTCGAGGGATAAAAATAATCCTGTCGACTGCATATTGTTTCGATATTGAATTATTTTGATATTGAAGTTCTGATATTATTATGTTACACAGATGAAGTTGTCCTTTTCTATGACATTGGTAAAGATGTCTGATAGTATGCCTGTTGACAGAACGCATGTCATGTTCTCTTGAACTGTCGAAAACAAGCTTCGTGTGTTAATTGTTTTATTGGTTTGCACGTTGCGTAATCTCTATATCTTCATAATATCTATTAACAAGTACAGTATATTATGTCTTTATTAAAAATAAAGATGAATATTACGAAATGCTTTTAGGTGATCTAACTTGTGACATGATTTCATTAGCAGGAATTCAGTATACGGGAATACAGAATGACTAAAAATAAAAATTTATTGTTTTACATCATCAAAAATAGCCATGGATTCATTATCACCTTTCTTTTTGACACACACGCCAATTGAAATTACTTTTGATATCAAATCAAGCAAGATGACGTCATACCTCCGTGGGTGTAGAATGTTAAACTTGTGAATCCCTTTCCCTTTTTAATTTAATTTTCAAATTATTTCGTTTAAAAAATAATATAACAAGTTAGTATGACCTGGACGTATATGCTATAGCATTAACGCAAATACTTTCTGAAAATTCCGTGATGTGATTTTTCTCCTATTACAGTGAATCTATCTGAATCAGAAATGTTCGCGCTTACCAATGTTTTTTACTGATAGGCTTTCCTTGAAATCTTCATCTGAAATAAAATAAAAAATTCAAATTTTCGATGTCTGATATTTCTTTTATTTCAAAAAAAGATTTTGATTTCGGGGTTGTGCTTTATTTCACTTTAAAAAGTAAACATCTTATCTTCTCATTGCAATCACAGTCGCTTTCCTTTTGTGTTTTGTTATCTATATTTTGTAAACTTATTTATAGACCTGATAGAACTAAACCTATTTAAATTCACAATAACTCAAAAGAATTTAAATACATTTGTTTGTTTTCTTGTTTGTTTTTAGAGTTTTTTTATTTACTTCTGATTTCAAATTTGAATATATGCTTTTCCAAAATATGTTTACTCCATACATGCAAAATATCAATGTACGCATTACAAATACTCAAATTGTAACGCTACTCTCATGTATTGTAAAAATGATATTTACAATAACAAAATATCATTAATTTCATATGTTGAAGTCAAATCTGTATTATTTAGCTGTCGTTTGACTAGTTTCATTTCAGTATGTATCAAAGGAAGAAAAGGCTCGTAGATACATGGATATTGTACAGTATATCACCACGCTATTTCAATACTTTGTACATACAATAGAAGTCTTTTTTATTTCAATAGTGGTCAGTTGTGACCTTTGGCATCTGAACTGATTGAGGACGAAGAATTTTGTGATGTTATAATGTAAATATAGGTCAGAAATGTTGAGGATTTCATAAAATACCGACACGGACGGACGACGGGCAAATCCATTGATATATCTGTTCAAGGCCATACCCTTAAGTACTTTGTTCAAATGTGACCAGGTTACAGGTAACATAAAAACATAAATCATTATCAAAGATTTGTTTATTTCACACGAAATGATGTTGAAAACAATTTGCTCTAAGGCCAAGAAAATACTCCTTTGCCTGAATAAGCCGGGAAAGGCTACCACAAAGAAATCACGGTACATCTATGTTTTTACTATGCAGACAAAAAAATCTGCAATTGGAAAATTTTCCAAAGAACCAGCATTCTGCTAATTCTATAAGTATAAGTGGGGAGTTTCATCTTCTAGGCTTCAGGCTGATACTTAGTAGTAAACAGAGGTCTCTAAAAGGTAGTAAAATAGCTTAATAGATAAAAAAAAACCGCACTAACAACCAGCAAAAGACAGTAGAATACAGTATTGACATACCTGGCTGCAGGAGTTGGCGCTCCTCTTTTACATTTAAGGTCACATATTATATATATGAAGTTATATTAAGTTAACCTTTCAACAGTGAAATGTCATAAGCATTGCTAATATCGCCACATTTTGATGTATAGATATTTCTAATTTGTATTTTAAAAAAAGTATCAAAATGAACAGAAATTAACTATTTCTGATATATAAAATAAATTGCTAAATTATCAAATTTTGGTTTTGTGCGTTTTACTGGAAATCAAAGTCCATGCGGTGATAAGGATATGAAAATAGATATATCCTTTGTTTTGTCTCAACCTCACAAATATAAAAAGGATCGTTTGAATTTTATAGAATATTCGCAAATGACCAATGTTCTGTCTCAATCTCGAAAAGAAAAATAAAAGTGGCCATGTGGATTTCCTAGTAAAGTCGTAACAATTCTTGAACGACTTCAAAAAGCATAATTGTACAACTGGAAACACAGCAACGCAATTCATTTCCAAATCGAAAATGATCCTGAAGTTTACTGTAACATGTTGAGAGGTACCAAACTGAAGTTCCAAAGGTTTAGTTTGTGGATTTTGCTAGCCTTTTCATACACCACAAACTCGCTGAAGGCATACAAAACTGTTTGTCTCTTTAGTCCCATCGCATGCCAGTCTCCGCAAAACATGACATAGACTAAACACCACGACTCGTTGGTCTTTTCAACGGTAAAGGTTTCAATCGACTCGTGCTTTAAGTGCTGGTTCTGCTGGCGACGCACGAAGGATCACAGCAAAGTCAATTGAACATCGCATTAAAAAGTATCTTTGCTGTTCTTGTATCGTCATCATAGGGCCTCTTACGATGACTAGGTTCCGATATATATTTCGCGGTCCTTTGTGCGATTTTTGTCAATATTTCAGTATTTTATTGTTTTTACTTTACATGTAATTACCTACTCAGTGAGTGACATTCTTATGAATTGAACATGGTATTTTTGTTGAGCGTGTCAATTCCTTTTTTCAAATATAAGTAAGGATTGCCTTCTTTTCCCTTTCTTTTCATTATTGAAAGAATGTCTTAATAACATCATATACTTTGACAATTATCTGGTAAGAAAAAAATATATCGCTGAAAGTTGTGTATGGTGTAGTGTGGAAGAGAATTACGATACAGCTACGTTTAATCTGATGGGCAGTACAGTCACCAACCTGCATCTCTCAAAATCTTGACAGAAAATAAACTGCAAATCCCGAGTATTAATATAGGAGCAGTATCTTCTCTATCTTCATTTCTCCAGGTAGAGTACTTAAAAGGTGTTTCTCAATTCCATTCGATATTTACACATAAATAAATGTAAGTCACGTACTTTGATCACGATTACTAGACTGGAGAAAAATACTTTGAACAAGATTTTTTTTATTTTTCACTTTTATTAATTTGTAAATTTATTTTACAGATGTGTCGTTCATCTAGAAGACATTTCTGTATGACATTCCTATAACGAAAAACAATATCTCGACTGTGTATACAAAATCCTTCAAAAGAACTTCATCAAACATTTCATGCAAAAATATTGACCCGGGATGCTGTTTATCAAAGCTATTTAACATTTGATATCAGAAATAATAATATTAATATCAAGCATTACCGAAAAAGGAGTTTGCAATCTTCAAAGTTTTGCCGACATATGGTTCGGAAGCCCTAAATGAACACTTTTCCTAGTTTTTTTAATAGCCTGGTTTGAGATGTTTCGGATCTTCCTGAGTAATGATAAAAAATATTCCTTGTATGTATTACAGCTAGAGAAAAAGTAACCGATAAAATCAGTGAAGCATAACACGGGGCATGTTTCATTTGCTGCTCCAGTTAGAATTAGACTCTGACGCAATAAGGACAACGACGTTACGTCATGAATTGAAAAACGTTCAAAAAGAATCTATTCCGTGTGATTATTTCCTCAAAATATTGACTTTAAAACATGTACCTTTTCTGAAGTTATGTAAAAAAAGTTCTTGTATTTTTTATTTGATATGAAATTTAATGAAACTAGTCTCCTTTTTTATTTATGCTCGCTGAGGTTTGAAGACACGTTTTATAAATTCTCAGATGAAATGAAAGCTCATTTGAAGTCGTAAGTTAGTAAAAATAATTCTATCGTAATTCTGGGTATTTAAAGATACAGCATTTTTAGTTTTTTTTATTTTCAAAAATATTTTATTGAAGTAGTAATCATACCATATATACATTATTTGATTGGCTAGGATGATAATGTATGTGTAAATAAATCTTAGAATAAACGTTTTCATAATTGTTGTTTCAGATTTATCCCCTACATTGTTTGTGTAGAGAAACTGGAAGTAATTTTCAAGACATGGATCATGACTTCAACTGAATATTTTTTATGAGACACACAACTGTGTGTGCTAGAAATTGAATTGTGGAATGCAGCAGATGTGTACAGAAAATATGCTGATAAAAAAGTAATGAAATCAATCATTTTCGTTCATTTTCCCGCTTATTCAATCATACGTCCGAAATATATGGGTAAATTGTTCTTTTACGACAATACCGTCTTGTATGACTAGTTTACGGCATACGGAAGTGAATTCCGTAGAAACGTAAACACTGTAGAATTTACAGAAGTATGTGTCTTTATCCACGTTGTCGGAAACACGTCACATGTGTACACTCACTCATGTGTTTAGTACATATTTCTCAACCATATTTTGAGTGAACACTGCTACATGTAAGTGTGTATGACAGTAAAACACGAGTGAGTCGGTGGTGTTTACAAATTCGGAATGGAATCAACAGTGGTGACATTAGTGATATTCGTCCGAGTCTGCTGTGCTGGTCTGTTCCTATACTCTTTTTTAACAGTTCATATTACTTTATCAGCTATTCTTACCTTCCTTCTTTTCATTGGTAAGTATTTAAAGCAAGATTCTTGTCATTATTTGTGTTCAGTTGTGATATTCACATATGTAAGAGTTGTCTTTCTTGCATAAACATAAATACACGTGTACTTTTAGGTTCAAAGGGCAACACACACAAATCATTGATTTGACCGATGTACCTAACATCATGATTAAACGCTGTAAAATAGAATGTTATTGCTGTATGTCACATATTTCTTTGCGTATTACAAATAGTCGTTATAGAAATAAATTCTGATTTATACATCATGTAGTTATTGATTTTCTGATGATGTAAATGATAAAAAAAAACTTTATGCTTATTCATAATGTAATTAAGTTCTAGTCGTTGTCAGTATTATCTGATGATATGTACCGTTTGAGAATATATCCCTATCAAAGCTTAATATAATTTTCTATTTTTATTTTTATGACTTCTGTACTTAAAACATATATTATTGTCAGAAATGACATTTGGGATTTAGTAACAGTTCAAAGAAGTTCGAATAAGGTGATTTAGATTTAGGCCGATATAACACTTGTACGTATATGTATATAGTATTCCAATACTTTGTTTGACTTGTAGCATGCCATTCAACCGCGACAATCAAGAAAAACGTGTCTTGCCTTAGAATACAAATACGTCAACAAAGCTTTTTTTCTTTCTTGATTTTCAGTAGATACAGTTTTAGTTTAAAACTAAAAAGATATATTTTTGAATTTGCACTTAAAATGATAATTTTTGGTATATAATAAACTTGTTTTATGTTCCCTGCTTTCAATTATTACTTACTATATTTCGAGGCATCGATCAATCTACGTGTGAGTCCCGATTTCTGTATTCAAAGTTTTTTTATGGGAATCGCAGAATTTCTGGAAATACATGAATTTTACATCGTGGGACCAACTGATGCTAGCTATAAAGTGGAAAAGGACGCATGAAAATAAATTGTAGAATGATCACTACTGAAGTCAGTTTAACGTTTTTATCATATTTTTTTAGCTTCCATTTACATACCGAGGATCGTCAAGGCTTTAATAGAATTCAGAACACCACGTAAAGTATTAACCACTAAGCAGATCGTTGACGAACTCTATCCTGTTGTAAAACCGGAAGTTCTCCAACAAGATGTAGCCGCTTCAGTGACTGCACTCGTCACGTATGACGCAGAACACGTCAGCAGTCTGGAGAACTTTGACGTCGTCAGACAAAATACTGAATGCATATTTGCCAAGAAATCGAAATTATGGGGATCTAAAGAATGGACACGAGAACTGAGTCTGGGTAAGTTATCGAACATACTATATGTGGATATATCCCAAGGTCCGAATAATTTAGTTATCTATTTTACTTTGTTTTACGGACAGAAATAACCATCTAATTTTTGTCAGATATCGTTGAATGGTTGTAAAAGTCGAAAACAGACGATACGATTTGCATTCAAAGTTGACAGTAAATGTGTATAGTGAAGCCTATGTAAATATTGTCATATATCTATAATTGCTTACAGGTGGACGCCGCGAAAAAATGTCGATTTTCTTGATAGAATTGAACGAACTACATATTTGAGATTGTTTCTACATCCGTGATTGAATACTATGTTTGACTGATTCCCGAAAATGCAAAATTGCATAACCAATGAAGGAAATCTTTATACGTTCGATCTTGGTAAATTTGACAGCTATATTTAGCATTTTTTCGAGTAACAAAAATCGACAATCTAGATAACGACATGCCGTCAATATGAGCAAAGAAAACTCTCAATTTCACAGTTTCATCTTTATGATTACTACTGCTTTTAATTGCGATATTATTTTGTTTCTTTTTCAAATGGCCGATACAGAAGAGAACATTCACAGGTATGTAAATGTGCATTCCGTTGACATCGCATCACCACTAATCCTTAACGATCCTATATTAGTGGATTTCACGTCAAGTACCTGTTCACCTTACTCAAATTGCTTTCATCACTTCTGTAAACTGCAAATTGGTATTGTTTAGTGCACAGAAATGATGCATTCCTAATTTATAAAATTCAATACAGATCGACAATTTTCTTGAAAAAGATAGTTTGCTTTATTTTTGTGTGGTGTCATCGCATAAGCGAGAGTCGCAGGAGAATGGTGTCAATGACACAAAACAGAAAAATGCACAAATGTTTAAACAAAAAATTTAATTCAAACTTGTTGGTTTTACCTTCTGAGAGTGACAGTAAAAGATAACCGCAATTTTAACGGAAAAAACTGAGTTCTATATTAAGGCATCTGAATATATCACTTTCGGTGCGATAAGTGCGTCTGGTCAGAGGAGTAGAAGGGATTGGCCCAGTTCTGTCTGAGAAAGAGGGATGGTGTTGGGGGTTAATTAATGACATACATCAAGTGTAATCACAACTTCTGTACAGGCTCAAAATAGCATAGAAAGTCATGCCGCCTTTGCTTAAATATTGTACAAATGCATTTATTTTATTGGTAAAATATCAGAAAAAACATGGCGGACTTTTGAAGTATCCGTGGAAACGATTATAATGATCAAAACTGGTATGCCTATAGACAGCCAGTGGAATAGGAACAGACAATCTTCTTGTATTAAGGAACACTAGATAATGCCGTATGGTATAAATTCGATCTTGTACAGATAAGACTGACGAGTTGCGATGTCAGTGAAGAATGTTAAAGAAAAATTCGGTTTAATGTTTTTGTATGTATGTACTAGGAGGTCTATATGTTATATCCTGATATGAATTTACATTTACGAAAACATTTTCATCTACAGTATTATCCAAGCTTTCTATGTATTATGTTCTATGTGTTTTGGAAATACCTTTATTTCATATATAAACATATATATTGAATTAAACTATTTATAATGTCCTACAAATGTTGCAGGTTGTCTCCAACTTTTTTGATGTTTTCTATGATGTGTAGACAACATCGCTTAGACGGATTTCTAATAGAGATACCTCAGGAGACGTATGCCTTTGATTTGGAGGTCAGTATTTACATACGGGACCAACAAACCGGAAGTTAATATTTACACCTAACGCGTTTGAACTCACTTCCGGTATATGTTCAGGTCTATGCTTTATACATGTTTTATCATAATTCATTATAAACTCCTTGTTGCTCTCTCTCTCTCTCTCTCTCTCTCTCTCTCTCTCTCTCTCGATCTCTCTCTCGATCTCTCTCTCTCTCTCTCTCTCGATCTCTCTCTCTCTCTCTCTCTCTCTCTCTCTCTCTCTCTCTCTCTCTCTCTCTCTCTCTCTCTCTCTCTCTCTCTCTCTCTCTCTCTCTCTCTCTCTCTCTCTCTCTCTCTTCTATCGATACAATATAACTAAACTGAGATTTTTAAAGTTGAAAAGATGATATATTTATGGAAATTACTAGTGAATCCTGATGAAACAAAAACGAAAAGATGATTAGTGGAAACCTGTAATTGTACACTATTTGTTAATATTTACCGAATGTTGTTGCGGTTCAAGACCAATGCGAAATTTATATTACCCATAAAAAGGAAAACCCACCTTTCAGCTTTGAAATTATATCTACAGCAGGCAACATGTACAACATCATCGACACGTACATACTGCAAGTTTAGCTTAAATCACTAAGTTTTAATAATCACACTTTCTTTTTTATTTCCAGTGTTTTTCTAACAGCGTACGTCGAGTTCTGCAAGTTCTTTCCGATTTGGATCCGAAAGGCGCCAGATGTATGGATACAATCGGAACAAAAAATCAAAGAGGTTGGGTGTTCCAGTTTCATGACGTCACATATTTTATAACGACTTTTGCTCCTTTTTATCCCGACACGAATTCGAGGTATTCGTTCGGCGCTCAAGGCTGCTTTATTCTACTTCAACCTGAAATAAGTTTTGCTTTACATAATCTGCCACCTGACACTCCACATACGAACTGGGACGAACCAAAATCAGTTCGTGATAAGATCCGAATTGCATTTCGAGACGCTGGAAGGGAGTATGAAATCCCAACATCTCTTTTTAGGCCTGTTGCTTGGGACATAGTCCGACCATTACATAATAAGGAACCTGTTGTTAAATGGTGGGAGAAAACAAAAGAAGATTGATATATGTTTTAACAAGCTCTAGACTCTATATATAGAGATATAAGTATCATTTGACAACATCACATGTTTCCTGTGATTTTGACCCTCAAATTGCCCCTCCCCTTCTTGCAACAAAGATTGGTTTTAATGGCTGGTTACATGACTCATTCTATCCCAATGTGTTGTACATTTGTTTCATCGACAAACATTGGTGTTCTGGCGAAGTGAGGAGGCAAAGTGCGTCCCCTTCAAAGGTTAAAACCATCTGTCCTGATGTATGGATATTGAATACAACCATGGCACATCATATTGCGGATGCTAAAACATTACCAAATCAAATTGGAAATGAAAGATGTACAATAACGCTTATTATTCTAACAGATTATCTTAATTATGGACGAAAATAAATTGAGGAAATTTCGCACGGATAGTGGGAAGTCATTACTGATAATAATTTAGATATACATGTACATTTTAAAGTCTCATGTTTGACTATAAACATTTCTCTACAAATAAAATAATAAAATTCTGTCTGAAGTGTTTATTTTTGTCAATCTGTCTCATATATATCTGGAATATCGGGAGAAAAACATATTCAAACTGTGTTAGGATATTCTAGAAACAACATGGTCAGCTGAGAGGATCATAACTAGCAGAAAAGCCTGTAGAATATACAACATACAGATGACAACGACTATTGCAAGTTAATACTGGCCTGTTAAATCGTGAAATTAGCAAATACAATAAGTATCTCTCTTTTAGATTACTATACCATAAAGTCTGATGAAGAGGGGTGGGAAAAAATAACCAATGAATTGTAAATTCTATTTGATTTTTGAAAAATATAATTCACATATTTCTTTAAATATATTTTTCATGTATTAAAATCATTTCACTTTTCAAATCAAGTTTTGAAATGTGGATCAGTATTGCTAATTGGTCGTTAGAAATGTTTGTAGCCATCAGTAATGTTTTTGTACACTGTATGATATATCTTTTGTTCAGGGATAATCATTGATATTGTTTTATATCGGCACTGACTGCTTGTTGACAGACTTAATTAGTTACTACGACTGACACAGGTAGGTTACTTGGTGTTAGTCAATATCATGATAATTTAAAATGATAACGCAATGTTTAACTGCTTACTTCAAATACTGTTGTGTAATTACTACACGTACATTTACAACCCAAATCTCAAAATATCTAATAGATACAAAAATAATCGGGTCGATTGCCACGAGGATTTAACTATGGTTTAATAGATATGTTCTTATTCATTGGTAGCAATGGGTAATTTCACTGAGAGTTTTCGTTGAAAATATTCAAATTAATTTTTTTTTCTCGCCGAGCCATAACATCACTTTTACGAAATACTTTAAAGGTTTCATATTGTTGCTACATGTAATGTTTAAATCGCTTCTTAAAGAAGTAAACAAAAACATATATAACAAAAATAATTTACTGATTAACTAGCAATGTCAGATTTCCTCACCTCATTTTCATGTGTCTTTAATAACGAGCTATTTGCTTAATTTTCTTTTTTGGCGTGGGTGACGATTTGATGCGAATCCCTTCTTGTAAAAAGACATTTATCCTTACACTGTAGTTCATGACCAAAAAATGATGACTTCCGATCAGGCAAATGTAGCAACGAATTTCCTGGAAAATAATGCGTTCCGTGTAATATTTTCAGATGCTTTCCTTGTGTAAAGTGACGTGTTCATTGCCTCGCCATTAATTAAAGATCGATTTTAATGGCCTGTCACTAAAGCCGGATTCGCTTTATTTGAGGGTTATTATTTTCCATCAGAGTTGACCAATTAGATAACACGCGATGACCTTACATCAGAGCTAATAAATGTCTGCTAGCTTCGAATACGTGTGGCAAACACATAGCCTCTTGTCAATGAAATGAGTCTGATTTTTTTTGTCAATAAAGGTTACATATCTATGCTTAGCTTGATAGCTACTTATTCAGTGTTAATATCGCTGCTTCCATCACGCGTTTCTCTACTGACAGGGGCGGTCACTTGAAATAGTTAAAAGAACGAGAATATGATTTCAAACAACAGTTGACCAACACAATTTCAACTGCGTTGCTGTCCATCTGAGCCATTGCTGTCGAAAAGTTGTGAAGGTAAATAACGATTTTTTTTAATTTCTCTATAGGAAGTTTTATAATGCCGCATGGTTCAGAAGTTTTTTTATTCGAAAGCGAGAATGATATTTATTAACTCTTTAAATTGAATAAAATTTCTGTGACAGATTTACACTGACATGGAGTATGGTACGCAATATTATTAAATCATGTATCAAGTCTACCTGTATTATTGGTAAAATTAACCTATCTTATACATATAGATTAATATACTTTTATACATATAGATTAATATGATTGTAAACACATAGATAAATATAATGTAATACCTATAGATAAAAAAAACTTGTACCTATAGAAAGATATGATTTAATAACTATAGATAAACAAAATTTTGTACCTATAGAAAGATATAATTTTGTACCTATAGATAAATTTATCTATACAATTTCATATCTATAGATAAATAAAATTTTATGTCTATAGATAAATATAATTTTGTACATAGAGATAAATCTATCTGTATAATTTCATACCTGTAGATAAATACAATTTTGTACCTATAGATAAATTTATCTATATAATTTGGTACCTATAGATAAATTTATCTATATAATTTGGTACCTATAGATAAATATAATTTCATACCTATATATAAATATATTATATACATATAGATAAATATAATTTCATACCTAATATATAAATATATTATATACATATAGATACATGTGTATCTAATTCTATACCACGGACCGTTAGCTATGATAATATAGTCATTGCCACCCCATGATTCGAACACAAACATTTTTGCCTCGTGGCATATTTCAACACCTTCCCACCAGATATGGGATTACGACACCGCGCTATCATCGGCTCGGTGTTCTAATGTTAATTAATGACTGGACACAAATAAAAGTTTTATTGCTGACTTACAAACCTTGATATTTAATCAAAGATGGAGGGATATGGCGTGACGTTCGGCGCCGCCATTACGCTAATGACATTTAGTTAGTACTAATTAACGGAATTGTGAAAACAATTGGCGGAAATCATACCACTTGTGTAACGATTTCTCTCATTCCTAAAGTGTCATATTACAGTTTTAAGCATAACAACATGTAAACACTGTGATTAATCTGTCAAGCATGCGCTCTCCTATTGATTCAAACTCGACGTTGTCTGAATATCGACAAACACTATTGTAATTTGTACGACCGAGGATGTGTGGTGTTAGTGCTGTCGTTCCTGGACAGAATATATTACGGTATTCATTTGTTTTTGTTAATTTCATTAATTCCTATAGCGTTTATGTATCAGTCTTAAAATAATTTATGTAACATGTGAAGACCACTTAAATATTGCGCGTCGTTTCATTTAAAATTGATCCGTAAAATACATCTACTGTATGACCTGAAGGCAAGAATGTAACGTTAGCACGCATTGTTCTTTTCTCGTTTACTTCCATTCAAAGTTATGTTTTTATTTTTTCATGAATGTTTTGTTTTAAAATAGAAGTACACCTTTTCCTTTTAACTTCTGTTTTGGTATTTGTTGATATAACCCACCACGAATGATTCGAAGTCTCGATGTATCAAAGGTTATTTTGGTAGTCCCTTGAACTTCGAAACATGGAAGTTTGACTCCATGTATCCAATTCTATATCAACAGCTAAATCTAGTTTCATACCTATAGATGAATTTAATCTTTACCAAAAGATAGATATAATTTATTGATAAATTTTAACTTCGTTTGCAGTCTTATCCTTACCACTGAGTGATTTATGTAAATTAATATTTTGAACGTTTCTCAGACGCCATTCCATGAGTTTTTCTTTCAATTTTTTGATGTAGTTTTAGCTCTGGATCTATGAATGTAAAATTGCTTCCCTCTTTTTCTTATTTTCTTAAATAAATATGAGTAACTATTTTCAATAATCAGTTCAGGTTGTTGTTTATATTACGCAGACATCATCAAAAATCAATAAATATAAATTATTTTCTTCAATTATGTTTAAATTATGAAATGTTTTCTGTTGGTGATATTAACACGGACAAGCGCTTAATTTGTCTAACATGTAAATTAGAATATATAATTCTCAAAATCAATTACATGTCATATTGTTATCAATCACTTTAAATATATCTATATCTAGCAATGGTGTCGAATCTGTTCTTCAGACCGAGACATTTCTAAGATCTTCATAAAATTTTGCTAAATTTTCAAAATATATTTTCATTATTCTCATATTTTTATCTTGTGCGTGACTTAATGAAATATTTAAAGTAATATTTTATGCCAACAGAGTTGTTAGACAATTGCAATTAGTGGCGATATTTTGACTTTCCGACTTACGCACGTTACTACTGTCCCTCGATCCATACCGCAGGACTTCGTTTTCACGAAATTACACCAGCAGTAGACAAAAATGTCTTTGTGTACTTTTCTCGAAACTTTGCAGTTCTATTTGATTTTATTATTGCGTTTATGTCACCTCCATCGCCATATTCGAAGCTTTAGACACATTTTAAAAAAAATTATCGCGAGATACTGTAAACCAAATATTTCTTTTGTTTCTAAAAACGTTTACAATCACTACAAAACATAACGTCTGCAACAATTAACCCCCACAAAGAGATATTTTCGTAAAGTACTTTATCTATAGCTTAATCTTAAGAAATGTCCAATTTTATTTATTTCATCTGATATTTTGAACCATTTGCCACTTTAACTGTTTTAGCTCTGTGTTGCGATCGGAAAAATAAATAGAACGCTAAAATTGAATTATTTACAGTAACATTTGAGTGAACAACTGAACAGTTGTTGCATAGACGGATTTTATGTGTATGTTTAACTAAATGGTCATGTCTTTCGTTTATAGAAAGTCTTCAAATGCAAATTCACGATAAAACAGAGTAATTTCGATTTTTGATCGCGAAAATATTGCTCTTTTGAAATTTAAGCTAGAAATTTCTCGAGAACCCATTTTATGGAATTGCCGAGCGAACTGTATAACTATACAAACACCTCCTTTGATATATGTTTTACGATGTCG